CTGGGAGTAAATCTATTAAATTGTTCAAGATTCCTAAGGCCAATGAAAACTCCCTGCATTTTTCTAATGACGACTTCAGTAGTATGGGGCATTGCTTCTAAATGATCCCAACTAAATAGGGTCTCCTGTGTTTTGGGAAGCCATGCAGCAGAGAAAATCCACATACTGACTTCCCTCCCCATTCAATGCTGCACCTGAGATCACCCATTTTGGAATCTTCCAGCTTCCCTAGATCCTGCATCATACATGGCAGTTTTCTTGTCCTCTTTCTGGGCCTCAGACTTGCTTAATAAAAAATATTCCATGAGTCTTCCTCTCTCCACATGTGACAGATGGCCAGGAAACTTAGGTTTTATTTGAAAAAAAAGCCATTAAAAGCAATAACTTATTTGGGTTAATTTGATTTTGTTTCCTTATGATAACTCAGGAAAACAACTGCCAGGTGTAAAGGTCCCAAATCTTCTAAATCTCAGACTGGTCTGGATCTGCAGTGTGTGTGGCCACCCCCGGCAACGCACACACACACACCAGTCATGGAATGTTCTGGGCTCATAGGACTACAGCTACAGCCAGCTGTCACATCTCAGATCCAGGTTTTACTGAAAAGTGGGCCAAGAGGGGAATTCCAGCTGGGTGGGGACCAAGGGTGGTTTTTCCCTCAGATTGGGTCTGTGAGAATGGGGAGGTGCCTTTTCTCGCAAATGAGCACAGCTTTCCAGTGCACAAACCAGAAAGAATTTCTCTTCTCTGACACCTGTGTCAGCCCCGGGAAATTACCCACCGGGTATAAAATGGTCCCTGGCCTGTTTTGTTTGTTTGCTTTGTCTTGGGTAAGCCTGTCACCGAGTACCACCCAAAATACACCAAATCACTTTTGCTGTACTTGTCGCTCAAAACGTTGTCTTTTTCACTTGAGCCTATGAAGTTCGTCTTGGTAGCACTGGATATGGTGATTGTCAATGCTGAAACTCTAAAAGCAACTCATGTCCCAGCCCTGGCAGGAGCCATTTGGCCTGTGGCTGTTCAGTGATTATCAACTGAAAACAGTGACAGTGACCAAAAAGAGCACAGTGATGCGAAGCAAACCATCTCCCCAGCTGCCCCACGGATCCGCCAGCTGAACGGCAGACAGGTGGGCAAACGTCTTGGAGAAATCAGAGAATCGCTCTGGCTAAACTCTGAGTTTTGTCATGTGAGATTCAGAAGAAAATAAGAGCAGATAGATAACGTGATTTTGAGGTCTTACAACTTAATTAATGATATTAACATTGTGTACAAATTCAATTTTATCCTCTGCCTGGGCTTCAGAGAGGGCAGGAGACAAGCCAGCAAGAAGAAGAAACTTTTCCTGACGGGAAAACCCGGTAAGTGGGTTTTTCCTCGGTCCTAGGGGAACTACGTTCATAGACGCACATACAGCGAAGTGGCAGTTTTTCTCTTTCCTAATTTATATTTTATTGGTAGAAATAGGCAGTCTAGTTCTCTCTCTTGCAAAGGCAGTGAGAGAGCAACAAAGAGACAGGGTCACCCGGGTAAGGACGCTCGTGCATCAAAGACTATGGACCCAACATGGACATATTGATGATGAAGAGAAACAAGTTACAAACGATCATGTACACAGAATTATTCCATTTTTGTTTTTTAAATGACATAGAAAATTATTGTCCCCATGGGACAGAATTCCAGCTCTCTTCCAAGCCCTGCGCAAGTGTGGACCACAGGTCCTGGCCCACGTCCCCTGCCTCACTCCAGGCCTCACTCCCACACTGGCCTCCTCTTCCTCCTCCTGGGAAGTCTGTCAACTGTGCCAGCCTCCTTCAAGCTGGAGGGGAAGAGAGCCTTCTCTTCTACCTCTCAGCTTCTGCGCCTGGGCCTATGAACTGAACTGACAAAAGACAGACAGACAGGAGAAAAAGCGTGCAAATTGTATTTGATGTTAATATTCTCCCACGGCAGGAGGGGCTTCCTAGAGAAGTGGAAACCCCAAAGAGGCAGTTAGACCCAAGGGCTTATACACCACTTTAACAAAGAGTGGTCAATTGTAGAGACATGAAGACAAAGGAAAAGTGGGTTTGTGCTAAGAGCAGTAAATTGTAGGCAAGTGACTAGGAAATACATGGGGGAAACTAATGGAAAACAGGGTCATTTTCACAAGGTTTGTTTGTGCAGACTCATCTTGCGTCGACTGCCTGTCTCTGATAATAGGAATGTTCTCCCCTTCCTGGCACAGGGCGGAGAGGGTGGGGAAGGGGGGCACTTTTCCCACAGGAAAGATATGCCCTGCTTTGAGGGAGAAAGCAGAAGGAAGACAGCCCTTCCTGCATCTGCTGTTTCTCAAGTGCCTTCAGCTCAAAATAATCAGTATGCCAAAGAGGGCTCGTCTGGAGCGGGGTGTTCTGATCCGCTTCACTGCCCCAGCTGTATGTTTGCCTGGACAGTCAGCTCTTGGCGTCACTATTGACCGCTCTCAGCAGAAATGTCTCCTTCTCAAGAAGGCCTTTTCTGACCCCCTCGTCTAAGTTAGGATGTTCCCTGCTCCTCTCTCACCTCATCATTCTGTATCACACTTGGTTTCAAATATCTCAATTTGTAGTCAATGTGTTCGTTGACTGACTTGTTTATTGACTTTGCCCTCCTCTAGACCCAGGGGCCAAGACTACGCCTTCTTGTTCTGTGAGGTCTCCCAGCTCTGAGGACAGTGCCTGGCACAGAGTGGGAGCTCCATAAACATATGTTAAGTAAACGCGCACCAGAGACAAGGACACACATCCACATGTTAACTGTGTTTGTCTCTGGCTGGTGAGGTCGTGACTGCCAAACGTCTTCTCTCTTGCCTACCTGTACTTTCTGGATGTTTTTCTTCAACACTCTACTTTCATAAGAAAATAAGTTATTTGTACATTTAAAAAAGATGATTAACATGAACAACATGATGAAATGCTTTCATTTTAAGCAGTCATGTAACTTAGTTGTATACAAGCCCAAGGCTTTTCAATAGCTTCAGAACATTTCTGCAGTGATTTCTCTCTTCTAAACTTGACCAGGGAGACTACGACATTGAATACAAGGAAGGGGCAGTGAGCCTTGATGAAAAGATCATGGGTTTCAGGTTCAGCCAGATCCAGGTTTCCATAATGACTCTTCCAGTTCCCAGCTCTGTACACTTGGGCAAAGAACCTCAACTCTCTGAGCCTTATTTTCCTTATCTATAAGTTACTCATTTAAAAAATATGCATTTTCTGGGGCCAGCCCAGAGGTGTAGTGGTTTAGTTTGCACACTCCACTTCGGCAGCCCACACTTCATAGGTTCAGATCCTGGGTGTGGACCTACACACCACTCATCAAGCCATGCTGTGGCAGCATGCCACATACAAATTGGAGGAAGACTGGCACAGATGTTAGCTCAACACCAACCTTCCCCAAGCAAAAAGAGAAAGATTGGCAATAGATGTTAGCCCAGGGCCAATCTTCCTCACCAAAACAAACAAAAAAAATCCATTTTCAGCATTGTTTTATATATAATATTTTGTTCCTGGTAATATTCATGCCTGCTATTTTAAGTCAATTCTTCTTGAAAAAAGTACGCAAACTAAAACCTCATCTGTAGGTTGAACCAAATAAACTGCCAATATTTGACCTTTTTTTGTTTTCAAAGTTGTTTTTTGGGTGAGGAAGATTGGCCCTGAGCTAACATCTGTTGCCAATCTTCCTCTTTTTCTTTTTTCTCTCTAAAGCCTCAGCTCACAGTTGTATATCCTAGCTGTAAGTCATTCTAGTTCTTCCATGCAGCAATGCCACCGCAGCAATGCCACCACATCATGGCTTGATGAGCAAGCAGTGCTAGGCCTGCACCCAGGATCGGAACCAGCAGACCCTGGGCCACCTAAGCACGAACTTAACCCCTTGGCCCTGGGGTCAGCCCCCTAACAATTTTTTAAACTTAAAAACAAAATGGCAATTTGATATGATTCAACATAACTGGTGTTTTTCTACCTGGGGGTTCAGTAGGAAGCCTAACGATTTGGACTCCGCAGCCAGCCCAGGCATCGTCCAAACCAATGAAAATTTCCAATACGGCTCAACCTGTTGGCCCAGTCTGCTTTTTGGTCCCTGCTAGTTCAGGGTCCGGAGGCATGCAGACTATCACTCTTATTTTAAAGACCCATGACTCCAATTCCATTGATAAAGTTCCCAATTCCATAATTGTCTGGGCTTAATGGGAATTCCCATAGAAAAAAAGAAAGTATTATGTACTTGAAAATGAAGGGAAAGAATTTTCTCATAAAGCTGTTCGTCTTGAGGTATAGCTCATAGACTGCCCCCTCCCCACTGTATGCATGTCACCCACAGACACTCCCCTTTAAAAAGACAGAATTTCCTTGTTCCTTTATGGTTAAGAAGGTAAGCGCAACACGGTTAGACAGCCAGTGTATATAGGAAAGAACTAGTTTAAGAAATAAGAAAACATGCCACTGTCAAGGAAGTTCTCATTCGTTTGAGCTGTCAAACTAGGTAATAAAGAAATTCAAATTCTGTAAAGGAAACCAAGAACAAGAAATTGGTTCGAGTAACACAATAATAGGAGGAAATCTTTAAAAAAGAAAAAGCAATTGGTTGCCTTCTCCTTACGTCTAAGAGCGAAAAAAATACCCAGGTGGAAGGCGTCGGGAACATCAAACTTCCTGGCTTGTTGCCGGTTGCAAGTGCACAGATATTTTCAGCCTAATAGGACACATCAAATACATCAACATTTTAATGTACTAATTTGTTACTAACATTTCTAAGCCAAGGGGTAAGAGGGAAAGAGGAGACACGCTCCACACTTGTGAGTGGATAAATGTGAAATAATTTAGCAAAGAAAATAACTTCAGCTTAGGCTGTCATAAGATTCTGTGCACCTCTAACTGGCATGGTTTTCTTTGGTCATCCCAGGTAGATTTAGATTTTTCAATCCCAATCTCTCCTTGGTCCTCAGAAATGCAAATGTTAAACCAACATACCTGTTACGATTAGGTTTGCCTGCAAGTAAGAAACAAAACACCAAAATTACAACAGCATGAACGAGATAGAAGGTTCTCCCTCCATCTCAGAAGAGCCCAGGTCCGCAGTCTAGAGCTGGTGTGTCTGCGCCCAGAAGCCCTCAGGAAGCCAGCCTACTTTTACACATGGCTGCCCCTTGCTGCAAAGAGACTGCAAGATGCTGTCTTTAGTCCAGGCAGCCATGCACCCACTGTAAGAGGGAGAGGATGGATGCTGGAGACGGTAACGACCTGTCTCTAGCACAACCAAATTCTACCAAACACAGAAAGGGATCAGAATATGCCACCCCCAAATATGCTACTTTGGCATAAGGATTATTTTGCACTGATGGCAATTGAAAAGAATCAGACACAGGAAGAGCTCTCTGCCCATCCTCCATCTGCCTAAAACCTTCCCTTCCCTTGCGAAGCTGCCCCCTCCTCTCTTAGCTGAAAGGGAAGAACAACACTTCTCAGGGCGGGAGAGGGGGAAGGTGAGGATACAGAAACTAAACCCTCTTACACAAACCTTCTCTTCCATGAGTCTCCCATACACTTACCTTCCCACAATTTACCGCCTCTGGAAGCCCAAATCCCTTTTCCTTTGTCTTGTGAGACAATTTATCATCCTTTGTTAAAATAGTATGTAAGCCCCCACACTCAACCACTTCTCTGGGTCTTCACTTCATTTTTACGAAGGCCTCTGTGCACATACAAATTATAATAGTAATATCAAATAAAATTTGTATTCCTTTTCTCCTGTTAACCTTTTTTCAGTTTACTTCACTGGTTCCAGTGAAAGAACCTAAAAGGGTAGAGGAAATTTTTTTTTCCTCCCCCACACATACAAAAAGAAGACAAAACCTCCACAGGGCATCCATTTATTTGCTTATTCAACAATACTGATTCCATACTAGGTGCCAGGCATCTCACTGGATGCAGGAGAGACAGGAAGCTTGAATAAGCTAGACAAAGTCCTGCCCTCAGAGAGCTCTCCTTTAGTGAGGGAAATAGACATTAAAAAATAAAGGTCATGGGGCTGGCTCTGCGGCCGAGTGGTTAAGTTCACACGCTCCGCTGCGGCGGCCCAGGGTTCGGATCCTGGGTGCAGACATGGCACCGCTCGTCAGGCCACGTTGAGGCGGCGTCCCACATCCCACAACTAGAAGGACGTGCAACCAAGATATACAACTGTGTGTGTGGGGGGGGGGGGGCGGGAGTGGGGTTTGGGGAGATAAAGGCAGAAAAAAAAAAAGATTGGCAGCAGTTGTTAGCCCAGGTGCCAATCTTTGGGGAAAAAAAAGGAAGATGAGGGGCTGGCCCCGTGGCCGAGTGGTTAAGTTCGCACGCTCCGCTGCAGGCGGCCCAGTGCTTCGTTAGTTCGAATCCTGGGCGCGGACATGGCACTGCTCATCAGACCACGCTGAGGCAGCGTCCCACATGCCACAACTAGAAGAACCCACAACGAAGAATACACAACTATGTACCGGGGGGGCTTTGGGGAGAAAAAGGAAAAAATAAAATCTTTAAAAAAAAAAAAAAAAGGAAGATTGGCAACACTTTTTAGCCCAGGTGCCAATCTTTGGGGGGGGGGAGTAAGATTGGCAACACTTGTTATCCCAGGTGCCAATCTTTGGGGGGGGGAGTAAGATTGGCAACACTTGTTATCCCAGGTGCCAATCTTTGGGGGGGGGGGAGTAAGATTGGCAACACTTGTTAGCCCAGGTGCCAATCTTTAAAAAAATAAAGGTCATGATGCAGTCTATACAGAAACTGAAATATAATAATGTACATCTGAAATTTATACAATATTATAAGCCAGTATGACTGCAATAAAATAAAAAAATAATAAGGGTGCATTGTAGCTGTCGGGGGCAAAAAGAGGGAGAAGTCAATTTCACTTTGGGGTGAGGATAGTCAGAAAAAACTTTCTGTAACCTTCCTTACTGTTGTTAAGGGTCAGACACAAAAAAAGAAATAACAAACCAGAAGCAGATCTTGTAAGCTCAATAATAACCCTGAAGCAAATTTCCCACAGTGATCATTTGACTATGAGCCACAGTGCAGCGGCACAGTGCAGCTCGCTGGTAAACACAGGTCAGCCAGGGAGGCTGCGCTGGAAGGAACAGTTTTTCCAGTGAAAAGGCCGTTTTGTTTCTGAATGCTACTAAAAACCCAAGCCCTTCAAGTGGTTTAGGAAACTCTGAGGAAACAATCAGGCATTTGCCTACTTCAGAGAAAGCAGTTTACAGAGATGAGTCCTGCTGGGGGAAGAGAGGGTGGCACACTGACTAGGTTATTTATAAAGATGCAGGACTGAGAGGATGCGATGACTCTAGCCACTCAGCCCGAGAGGCAGGGAGGCTGTGAGGTCTCAACTGTGGGGCACGCTGCGTCGGGGGTGCAGGTTCTGAGAGGCCCCAGGGGAGAGAGTTCCTGGGAAGGCCAAACCAGCCGCAGCTGGTGTGGTTCTGCGCTTCCTGTGAGCAAGAATAACACGAAATCCCTCAAGAAGGAACGGAGGTGGTGTGATCACGAGAAAGTCATAAATGTGTAGGGGTCAAAAAGTACAAACGGAGAATGAGGCCAGAGGCACTTGGCTTACCTGCACTCACAGGAAATACTAGAATGATTTGCTATTTATTTGGCAGCTGAGGCGATGGCAGAGGAAGGCAGAGGTGAGAAAATGTCTTATCTTTGTCTGACTCTTTGCACAGGGCAAACTACGAGAGTAGAAATTCATTGAGTCATTGCTGCAGGGTCTATAGTCCAGAAGCTGTAGAAAATTTTCTCACTTTTTCGTTGGAGGTTCTTTTCCATTTCAAGAGGCTAAAATTATTTGATCATTCCCCTGTGACTATCTGGAGTCTAGATTTAAAACATGAGGGAAACATTGCTATGATTATGCATAATTTTTTAAGTTGGAGCACATCATTACTTCAAGACAAGAGAGAAAAATCTTCAATGAATCATCTTGATGAATCATATAACGGTTTGCTATTTTTTAAAATTTTTTTAAAGATTGTCACCTGAGCTAACATCTGTTGCCAATCTTTTTTTCTTCTTCTTCTCCCAAAGACCCCCAGTACATAATTCTGTATTCTAGTTGTAGGTCCCTCTGGTTGTGCTATGTGGGATGCTGCCTCAACGTGGCCTGATGAGTGGTGCCATGTCCACACCCAGGATCCGAACCAGCGAAACCCTGGGCCACCGAAGTGGAGCGCGCAAACAACCACTCAGCCACAGGGTGGGCCCCCTGCTATGTTTTTAAATGAAAGCTGTTACTACTGAGGGGTGTGGTACAAAACTAACATCTGCTTCTCCAAGTTGCAGTACAAAATAGAGTGAGATACATCCTTGAGACACTGTCCCCTCACACTATCCCCTGAAAAAATAAGGCAGTGTGTCATTTCAGCCCCAAAAAAGGGCACAGGCAAAGCTTCTCTCACGGGTACTGTTTGAGACCATGAGCACTCTCACCTTCACAGCTGAATGTCCTCGTGTTGGCAGCCTACTCAAATGACCCCCTAAACAGGAGAAAATGTCTCCTCCTTCCACTCAGGGGACTTTCACAGCTGAAAGCCAAACAATTTGAATCTGAATTCACCAGCTCAAACCAGGTCGAAAACAGAGAACGAGTCAGTTGTACAGCTACTTGGCTGGCTGCAACCAAGATCAAACCAGTTCTAGCCACAGTTCCTGGGTCCTTGTCAAAAGTCCTGGGCTAGGGGGCTGGATCCGTGGCCGAGTGGTTAAGTTTGCGCACTGCGCTGCAGGCGGCCCAGTGTTTCGTTGGTTCAAATCCTGGGCACGGACATGGCACTGCTCATCAAGCCACGCTGAGGCCGCGTCCCACATGCCACAACTAGAAGGACCCACAACGAAGAATATACAACTATGTACCGGGGGGCTTTGGGGGGCAAAAGGAAAAAAATAAAATCTTAAAAAAAAAAAAAAGGCCTGGGCTAGGACTTCCTTACAGGACTCCACGCCCACCAGAGGCAGCCTGGAGACCCCACCACACCTCCAGTAGCCCAGCCCAAGTTGTTTCTGACTCTACCCCTGAGACGTGCCCATCTCCTTCTTCTCCACCTCTCCAGACAGGTGTTTACTCAGAAAGCCCAGGTCCTGGATCTGCCTAACAGGGTCCTAAGCCCCCAGACCCTGTTTGCCGAAGGAATGACCTTTGAATCGGGGGTGATTCCATCAGTCCAGACCTCTGAGCCTCTCAACTAAATCAGTGCCCCTGGATGGCCCAGGCCCAGGCCAGCTCCACCCAGAACACAGGGAGCTCTACTGCCTCTAACAGGAACACCGTCTCTCTATCGTACTCCACGCGGAAAGTCTGCACAGTCAACGTTACCTTTGAATTTTATAAGAGTGTTGGGAAGAGGAGAATGGCAGGCAGATTATGCTCAAGTTACAGAGGAGGACACTGGGTCTTAGAAGAGATGTGACTTTCCCAGTTGGGAAGTGAACCCAGGTCTTCTGACAGCCCTGATGTCATAGAGTAAGAATCCACTGAGCCAGAGCAGAGAAAATGGAGCAGAGGCCATGCTGAAGGAAGCTCACGTCTGGTTCCTGGTCTCACTTCCGTTTCCGCTTCTCTTACCTTTCCCAGGTGCCCATTCTTTCCACTCAGCCTATCGGCCCGCCACTGGGCTTCCTACCCATCTTGACCAACCCGACCTCCAACTGTTTGTCCAAACTTCTCTCTTCCACTTCCCTCTCTTTCCTAACCAACTTTGAAATTTCCCTGATTGGCTGCTTTTGGAAGCTGCTTACTTCTATCTTTTACTAAGGAATGAGTGACGAATAACCATGGAAATGATAGTAGACTCTAAATGAATTCTTAATTGGCAGGTTATCAGATGGCATAAAGAAGTAAAATGGCATGTGACAGAGGATATTCCAGACAGTGGGCGGAGGGGAGTATTTTTAACAAATACTGTTGTGGGAGAGGCTAATTTCCTCCCAACATCCATTCTGTCCTCTCTTAACATAACAGAACACCCAACTTTTGACTGGATACCTGGCTCCTAAGAATAAAGGTTTCTCAACCTCTCATTAGGCTGTATATGCTACGTGACTAAGTTCTGCCAAAGCGATGTGAGTGGAAAGGTGCAACTTCTGGGTCACACCCTTAAACGGAAGGGGGCCCTCCTCTAACTAGACACAGGCTGAAATGTGTGGTGGCTATGAGCCATCTTTCACTACACGGAACAACAACATAGAAGAAGCCTAAGGCCTGGACACCAGGACTCACCAATCCACCCTGGACTATTTACACCTGGACTATTAAATGAGAGAGAGAGACGATCTTGTTGACCCTTTATTCTTTGCAGTCTCTGTTAGAGCAGCTAATATCCTAAATGATACCAGGGCCCTGTCTGGAAGTCTGTAAACTGTTTCACTCTTCTTGGTAGAAACACTGCCCTTAGCCAAGAAGGGGTAGTTTGAGGCAAGCCTAATTCATCAGAGCCTAGAGAATAAAGCCATGGAAAGAAAATGTGTGAAGCTGGGAAAGAATCTGAGCTTGGCCCAGCTGTGGCTAACTGGAGTGCACAGCCTCCACCTAAAGAAACTTACATTTGATTTTTTGGAAAGCTCACTCCCAAACAAAACCCTTAGGCCAATTTTGGCCCATGGGGCATCAGTTTTTTACTTCAGATTTGGTCCAATTCGTTTTACAGATGAGAGAGCTAGGGCACAGAGAGGCCAGATTTCCTCTCTCAGAGCCTTCAGCCCCTTAGAATCAGTACTGTTCCTAGAACACAGGTGTTCCGCCTCCCAGACCTGTGCCACCCCATATCCCCGGCTGAAGCCCCCCAGGCATCTCCAGCTCCCTGGCAGGCGGGCAGGGTGGGGGGAAGTCAGGTACCATTTTGATTCTGCCTCAAAATTCTGCATTTAAGAAAAGGTCAGTTCCTCTTTCTCTGCCTCTCTTCTTTCAGAACAGTTCAGTCCTAAAGTCATTAGATGGGTGAGAATGACGTCCCCATGTCAGGGCAGCTGTGCATGGGGTGCCCGAGTTGGGTGAGGAGGACATCATGTGGGGGACGAGACCAGCACCCTCAGAACCAGAATAAGATGAGGAAGGCATCCTCAGGAGGATGGGAGCTTGGTTATACCAACAAGAGAAAGCATGACAGGTAACAGGAGGCAGCTTTCTTACTGTCAGAGATAGTTGTAAATACTGAAAGGGAAAAACTAAAATGAACCCTGTGATGTTGGGTTGGACATCAAGTTTTGATGTGAACTCATGGTTATCAATATAAATGGATTTAGAAATATATATGTACTTGTGTGTACATGTGCTTCCCAGCTCCGTCCACTGTGAGGACCTGGGAGCAGTGACATCTTCATGTCAACAGACATACCTATGCCAGATCCGGGCTTCGAATTATGATTCTCCTTGGAGAAATGACTGATTTCTGGGCTGCAGGGGGGAAAGCACAGGAAGAACCTGGGACATCTTGTTCTGAAAAACAAGGAAGTGCTCAAAGAAGAATGGGGACAGATCAAAAGAACACAGAAGCCAGCTTAAAGGGAATACTGCTGGGCAACAGGGACATCAACATGTATTCTGAGCATCGGAATAAGTAATGTAATAAATAGATTATAACACTGGATAAAATAGGAAAACATAAGGTACAAATATAAATAAGTGAATGAATGGAAAGTTTGATGGAGGACAGGACACATAGGTAGTTTCAAAGTGCTTCCCCACAAAAACATTAATTTACAAAGGGGAAAAGAAATACTTCACCCTGGAGAAAGCTGAGACACCACACTAATCAAGAGATCAAGGTCACCATCATCAGTAATGAACGAATCCCAATCACACACCACCTCTAGCAGGCAGCGAGGGGAACACAGCATCTCTTGCCACTGCACTGCGAAAATGTACAACCTGAACCTAATCATGAGGAATCACCACGTGGACGGACATTCTACCAAATAAGTGACCTGTAATTTCCAAAGTATCAAGGTTATAAAAGTCAGGAGAAAACTAAAGGAAACTAAGCAGATACGACACAGCTGCTTTGCCTATAAAGGACATTACTGGCACAAGTGACAAAAGCTGAATAGGATCAAAGAATTAGAATGTTAACATACGAAAATTTTCTGATTTTGGTCGTAGTATTGAAATTACATAGGAAAATGTCCTTATTTGTGGGACACATACTCTAAAGTATTTGGAGTTGATGTGGCGTCAGTTTAAGGGAAAAAAGTTTTTGCACTGTACATCCAATTTTTAAGTTTGTGATTATGTCAAAATAAAAACAAAAATAAAGAATATTACAAAAGAAAAAAGGAAAGGTCAGCAATTAGAGAGGCGGGCAGGGGAGGAGGGCGTTGTAAGAGCTGTACAATTTCTGGGGGTGCAATTCACATTACCAGAGCACTAACTCTGCAGCCAGACTGCTTGCATTCAAATTTCAGCCCCACTGTTTACCAGCTGTGTGACTTGGGGAAAGTTACTTAACCTCTCTGTTCCTCCGTTTCCTCATTAACAAGGATCATAATATTACCTACTTGGAGAGTTATGAGAATTAAATGGCTTTAGATTTGTTAAGTGCTTTGAAAAGTGCCTGGAACATATTACCATGTAAGTGTAAGTAAAAGAAACAAAATGTCCCCTGCAGTTGTTCAAAATGGAGCAACCTCACACATGCTCACGGCGGGGAAGGGGGAGTGGATGGAAAATAGACAATTACGTTTCTTAATTTAAGAGAAAAGACACTACTCTGCAATTACAGCCAAACATAGTCTTCTCGCTGACGTTTTGGGGCTTGTTTTAGCCAAGAGTAATCAACGGAGGCTCAGGCGATCCGTGTCGTTACGGGACGGGAGGGAGGGAAGGCGGGTTACCGACGGTGCCGGAATGAAAAGCAGCTCATAAAACGGGGGCACTGAGCTGAGCACATCTGTCTGCTGAACGCAGTGCCTTTTCCATGGATACCAACGTCAACACGACTCACTTCCCAGCCAAATGGAGGCGTCTGCTCTGACCAACACTGCCACCTGCAGGTCAACGCCGTAAAGACAATTTGATCGTATCTGAACCCCGGCCAGATTTCTAGACCATGGCATCGCCACACTGACCAGACCTTCAACCAGCAAACAGCAAACGTTGAGCAGTTATTGGATCCATGTTTGTGTTTTCAAACCTACTCTACCTTGGAAAGTACATGGCCTCTGCAATAATTATGCAGAAGGAGGGAGAAATCCAATTTACAGTAAAGTCATAAAATATATAGGAATAAACTTAAAATTCTGCTAATCATAAATATTTGAACAAATCAGCATGCATACCATATACCTAGATTTTAAAAACCTGAGTGCTATAAATTGGTTCTTTCCTAATTTATTTATAAATCTAATGTGATTCCAATAAAAATCTTAAGGAAATTTCCTTTTCCAAAACCTGAAAAACTTCTACATTTAAGGAAGATAAAAAAAAAACCCAAAACTGCAAAATATGGGAAACATCCTAATAACCACAGCCAACACTCATGAACCCTTACCACGTGCCAGGCCCTGCATTACTTCTGTAACTTTTCTCTTTAATCTTTACAATTGTGTGGGCTGCGTATTATTACCATCCCACAGAGTGGAAGTGTATTGTTAGCTGATGAGCATCTGTGTTTCTTTCCTAATGTCGCTCCAATTTCCCTGGGGGAATTGCATTCCCTTGATTTCAGCATTGACTATTGATCCAGCTGTCCTGCTCTCCCCAAGGGGCAGGCAAATTACCTCACAGGCATGTGATCCCTGCCTGCAGCTTCAAAACTTTAATTTCGAGTAAAGAAGTAAAAAGCCTAAAAATAGTTGAAGTTCACTCATTCTGGCAGTAGTGTGCTGACGAGGCAGTTGATTATTACCTTCTCTCTAGCTGGACCCCTGGAGGGAAGGAATCAAGGAGGGAAGGTGAGGAACCAGGAAGCATCAAGAGAACGCCATTTCCAACAGCAGCCTCAAGGGCAAGGGAGTGGCGTGCCCAGAATCCCACGCAGCCAGAGCAGAGGGGCCACAGGGTCTTTGGTCATAGGAAAAGGAATGAAACCACTGGTAGTAACTACCAAGGGCTGGCAAGGAGGGACTGGGGAAATTAGTACCCTGACCTCTCTGCTTCAATTTTCTACCCCTGGACAAACACAATCAAAAGCCGGAAGACGAAACGCCCAGAGTCAGCCCCGAAGGATACGCTGCAGGAGACAATGTCAGAGAATGGACCTGCTGCACAAACGGAGTCTGACCAACATGCTTTCCAGTTGTTGCTAAAGGCAGAGCTGGTTCAGCTTGTGACAAAGCAGCCAAACTGACACAGCCCCCGTTACAGATAAGAAAATGAAGTTCAAAGAGGGTGAACAAGGGATCAAACCAGGAGTAAGACAAGGGGGGTGTCGGGGACCATAGGCACTGAAGTGCACCTGCCCCTGTCTGGAAATAGCGAAACTGAAAACATTTTAAAACATTCCAAACCAGCTGCCCCAGTGGCAATCTAGTTAGACTGGAGACAACAGGAGAAAGGTCTGGAGGCTCCAGGGATGAGCAGAAGAGCTACGACAATGACCCCTGCTGGTCCCTTCAGCATTGCCACGGACAGAGATGCCACTGAGAATGTTCTGTGGTTGCAGAGCAAGAGAGGGAGGAGGCTGAAGCGGAGGGAGAGGAGTGAAAGAATAGCAACTCAATTTCCTTCCAGAACCCTGCCTCGTCTCCATCATGTGGTGCCATCATCAGGAGAGCCTGCCTCCCAGAATGGAAGCCAGAAGACCAAGGCTTCCATCCCCTTCCTATGGAACCACGAGAGCCAGATCCCAGGCTCAGCTGACTGGATGCTCTCTCCAGGTACTGGAGAAGTACAGCAAGAGCCTAAGAAACTTAGGGTTCACGGCAGTGGCACAAGTCGGCATGCTAACCACAGCTCCTCATGTCCACAATGGGGGCTGGGAATGGCAAAGTAGCTACAACACAGGATGCAGGCAGTAGGTGCAGGACAGTCACGAGGGGCTCAGCAATACAGGACTCCTGGCACCTTAAAATACACGGCCAGTGACAACACATACAAATGTACATTTTAACTTTCATGGTTAATACTAATAACATACTTTTCTGTGGGGTTTTTTTGGTGAGGAAGATTGGCCCTGCGCTAACATCTATTGCCAATCTTCCTTTTTGCTGGAGGAAGATTGTCACCAAGCTAACATCCATGCCAATCGTCCTCTAGGTTGTATGTGGGAAGCCACCTCAGCATGGCTTGACGAGTGGTGTGTAGGTCAGTGCCCAGGATCCGAACTCACAAACCCTGGGCTGCTGAAGCAGAGCACACAAACTTAACCACTACACCATTGGGCTGGCCCCTAATAACATACTTTTATTTGTCAAATCAGTAAAAAAAGAACAGAATACCAATTTAAAGGCAAAATTTTTATTAAATGTTATGACAAAAAAAGGTTACAATTTTGTTGTTGCTAGAAATTATAGAAAAATTATGAATTAGTTTCAAAAAAAAGCTTTCAGACTCAGTTTTACGCAACTCTATACCTAATATTAGAGCTGCTGGTCACCCCTCTAACCAGCATACTAGAAACTATTATTCCAAATTGGCCACAACGTCATGGCTTTAGCAGACAGACAATAGGGAGATGGAGAGCCTCCTTAAATATCTAATTGGAGAGAAAATATAAATGTAATAATTTTAAAATTAAACACTGATACAGCCTGTATTTTTGAACATTTGTTTCAAAATAATATGCTGGAAAAAAACAGGATATAAGAAAATATTTCAATCAAAAAACAATCTTGCACAATTTCACAAAATGGAAATGGCCTATTATTACATGACTCCTAAAAATGTTTTAAACTGTGCTTTACTTTCCTCAGACAGTATTATAGTCACTAAATAAGACTGTGACCTAAAAAGAAAAACCATAGCAAGACTTTTAAAGTTAATGCCCAAATTGCATGATTCTCTTAAGCAACCACCTATTTTAAAAAGTATATGTATCTCAAATACAATCTAATCTAGTCTATTTTGAACTTTCAAATAGGGAGCAAATTTTGGCTTTTGGTAGGATCGTTTCATGAGATACTTAGAGGGCCTCTAGGTCAATAATGGGGAGCAGACAAGTGTGCACGTGTGTGCTGGGGAGGGGGGTGGAGGAGAGGAGGCTGGAAATGCAGGACTCCAAGCATCTGATTCTTCAACATCATGGTCATTTCTGCTGCCTTTAATTTTTATCAGAATTATACATTCTCTTGATTTAGAGAGTCCAATCTCTCAAAGCTTGTTATGAAAAAGAGCAATCCCTCCTGTCCCCGTGCCCACCAATCTGCCTTCCCTTGAGGCGATGCTTTTTCAGAATTTACCTCCCCATCTTCACAAGCCTCTGTTCCTATTTCTTGCTTTTGTGATTTCAGCATTCCTGATTTTCCGCTACAGACCGTGAAGAGCAATCTGCCTTCTGACCTACCCGCCCCTTCTTTCTGCCAACATGCTCTCAAATAGGCACATTGTCGGTATTTGCCTTGATTTATATTCAGGGTTGACAACGGCATACTTAGGTGGGCGGTGGAGCTATCGGGAATGCCTTTCCTTCCCTGATAAATTTACAATCGCTTAGTTTTCTCATTTGCTTATTTCTGTGTCCTAAGTCAATCCCATACTCTTTGCCAGTCGTCCAATCTCTCCACACATCCTAGTGCATCAGGTCATCTACAAATGTCACCTTCTTCAAAAGGCTTCTGCCCGGGGCCCAGCTGGCAGGAGTCAAGGGAGTGGCGGCTGCTACCCAGTGTGGGAGTGCAGACTGCCAGGAAGACAAGAGAACTGCAGGAGCCAGTGTGGGCTCCACAGAAGCCCCAGGCAGAACTACTTCCTAAAGCTCCTGCATAGCTTCTCAAGAGAAGGAGGCAGAGTCTCAGCAAAGACAGTGCACTTTCCCCAGTTCACCGCTAATACACGCGGCCACACACATACTGGCTATTCCCCACAAACAAATCCAAGGGCAACTGCAGAAGCCTAACAGCTAAAGAAAATGGTAAAACCCACAACTAGAAGGACCTGCAACTAAGATATACAACTGTGTACGGGGGGGTTTGGGGAGTTAAAGCAGGAAAAAAAAAAAAAAGATTGGCAACAGTTGTCAGCCCAGGTGCCAATCTTTAAAAAAAAAAAAAGAAAGAAAAGAAAAGAAAATGGTCTAAGGTTGCCTAAGAAATCCAGATGTGCTTTCAACAGAATTATGCGCAGGCGCACTTGGCATCCTTGGCAGGTGCAGGCTCTGGGGCAGGAGCGAAACATATGTCCACCCAGCAAATCTCTTCCATGGTGACAAAAGCCATCATGAGTAAGAGAAGGTGTAATGGTGATGAATACCCTTAGTTATCTTAAACAGAGCGAGTCACTCCACACGGATGTCGTGCTCCGGTCCTCTACACGTAAGGGGTACAACTCCCTTGCAATCACACCCTTTCCGATACACGCTAGAGGAGGGTCACGGGAATGAATACTCGCTGCAGAATTCTGGACTTCCTCAGGAGGTGATCCTGCATCTACTGTCTTCTCCATTCTGTTCTGTGTTTTGCAAAATCCTACTATGGCATGTACTATTTTTTCTAAATTATAATCATCATCATAAACTTTTAAAAAATCAAGAACTACAAATGACATAAAAGTCCATCTAATCTTTTACTAAATATGGCTATGTTGTGACAATTTTAGTTTTAAAAAAAAAAATGAGTCTCTTGATTTAATCAGGGCCTCGGGAGCTAAAGGATTAGCCACTGTCATATTCAAAATGATGCATTTATTGAGGGCAAATCTTAACTGTGTCTTCTTCAGAAGCACGAGCTGCAAGAACGGCTAAAAGATTGAAGTCATCAGTTTACTGTCACCTTTACTGAAACTTGATTCCTTGAGCCAGAGGAAGGTCCTTACTGTAGTTGATGGTACTGGGGGAAAAAACGAACAAGTTATATGAATGATAGTACATATATAATATAGAATATACTTATGCCATTAATGAAAAAACATCTAGCACCAGGGTGAAATGTCCAAGTTACAAGCTGGTGAAGAAAAAAATTAGGATACAAAACAATGTTAAGATAGATTCAGTTTTATAAAATAAAGAAAAAAGAGGAGAAAAACACAAAAGTCTAGAAAGGTGCCTATCATACACGCTATTTAGTTTTCAGGGCACAAGAATATGGGGATTGTGACTTTCTTCTTTATCTCTCTCAGTAACTTGCATTGAATTAGCAGGAAAAACATAGATGTTCTCATTCTGAAGGGAATAAATAATAAATAAATAAAATAGGAAACTATAATAATTCAGAAAATAAAAGCTTCCCTGTTAACTAATCACCTGGTTTTTCTCCTGAGAGGAATGGTACCCCCATTAAATCAGTTCCAAAAAGGCTGTAGCTCAACGTTTGCCATTCTGGATCTCAGGTGCACAAGAAAAGTTAAAAGGAACACGACTGACTTCAAAGAATGGGAATCAGGTAGAGTGTGCGTGTGTGAGACTTAACCAGCCACAGCCAAAGGCACCTCAGGAATTCCTGACAGACTAAGTCACTGAGGCGCTAAGGAGCCAAGGTTGGGGCGCCCAGGCGAGGTCACAGAGCTAGTGAGAGGCAGTAAATGGGACCAAGATGAGTGTCCTTGGTGCCTCACCCCGTGCCTTCCACAACGTAACACCACATGGGCCTGACCCCACATACTCTGCTTTATTGCACTTGGAAGAAGCTATTTCTACCCAAGGGGGAGGAAAACAGAACACAAGTAAAAGAAATAACTCCTAGTCAAAAGCCCCCAGAAGCAGGCTCCTTCGCCAGCTGCCTACGGGCTGGGCGAACAAGCTAATCCACTTTTCAAGGGTCATGCTCTCTATTCCGAGAGCTGGCGTCCCCCAGCTTGCCAGCCAGGCCCACAGCCCCCACCCACCTCCATCTCCCACTGCTTTTACAATCTGCAAGGGTGGAAACTGCACTCAGGGAGAGCTAAACAGACAGCTTCTGCTGCTGGTTGACCCCGTGTCTGGCTCCTACGCTCTCTCTAGATAGAAACCACCAAGGAGACAGTTTCACAGTCGGGGGTTGGGCACCAGCTGAAGCTGGAGAAGAGTAGAAAGATAACGGTACAAAATGGATGCTCCTGGAGGAGGGGAGAGCTGTGGGAGGTTAGACAAATGAACTCAAGTGAAACTGCACGAAGAGCAGAAAGGAGAAGTAAAAGCACATTCCAGTCTCTTGAAGCCCAAACCCGTCTCCCCACAGCCTTCCTCACCAAGTAGATCTTCGCATGTATTGCTTCCAGGCATCGCTACCGGACTCCCTGCCACCACCAGTGTGCTTTTCTCCTCCTAGAGAAACACAAAAACAGGTCCCAGTCTCTCTCTGTGCGGACGCCCCCTCAGTCGCACTGAGATGAGGAGACCACAAGGAGACCAGAGCTACCCGACCAGTGACTTCACATGAAGCCCAGACTGTCTCCTCTGCAAACACGTCAATACAAGACAGACCAAAACAAACAGGCAAACAGAACCAAGAGGGAAATAAAATAAAAGGAATTAAGAGAAACAACTGCCTTGGGAAGCAGCAAAAAAACCTTTAAAAAAACTTTACCATTAGACCAAGGTGTTGAGTGGAAACCTCTTGAAGGTGGAAATATAATTTTATTTTCTCATTTATGCTTATCTATACATAATTTTGTACAACATAATCTGCTTTTATAATAAAATATTTTTAAAAGTTATACTGATATCCTTAGATTACAAGAAGATAATGATTCCATAAAACAAGAAAAGGATACTATTTAAAAGTATGCCATCAAAGCATAAGAAAATAAGTTCTTGGTGTTGGGTTATTTTGGTTGTTTTTTTGGTGAGGAAGATTGGCCCTGAGCTAACATCCATTGCCAATCCTCCTCTTTTTGCTTGAGGTGGATCGTTGCTGAGCTAATTTCTGTGCCAATCTTCCTCTATTTTGTATATGGGATGCTGCCCAGCGTGGCTTGGTGAGTGGTGTGCATGTCCACGCTCGGGATCTGAAACTGTGAACCCCGGCCTGCTGAAGTGGGGCACGTGAACTTAACCGCTACATCACCGGGCCTGCACCTAGTGTCGTTTTAAAAACAGCAGAGGAGAAAAAACTTAATAGAAGGATTAGAAGAAAAAATTGAGGAAATCTCCCATATGAAAAGCAAAAAAGAATAAAGAGATGGAATACAGGAGGGAAAAGATAAAATTAGACAATCAATTCTTCAAGAGATAACATTCAAATAATAGAGCTCTAGAACTTAAAATAGACAGGAAAAAGTTGTCGAAGAAATACTATGAAAATAAAAGAAAACTAGCAAAAACTTCTTAGAACTGAAAATTATGAGCCCCAATATTCTAAGGCCAATCACTGGCTCACTGACTGTCCAACAGAAATTTTTACAAAGATCTACACTGGGGCGTATTGCTGTGAAATTTCAGAATATCAGACAGAAATGGCAAACCTAAAAGATTTTGAAATAGGGAAAAAAGAAATCAGAAATCAAAGTAGATTGGGCTTTTCAACTGCAATACTGGAAATGAGATGACAAATGAGTAATATATTTAAAATTCTGAGGAAAAAATTACCACAAATTGTGCAGAAATAGCATAAAAGGCATTGCAGGTCTGCTTGCAGTGTTGCTGGCATCTGGGAACTTGGCTGGAAAACAGGTCCCTACGCTGATATAAAACTTTCCCCAAATGACAAGGGCATCACACTGGGCTTAAACTGTTTTTGTACAAACAGTGTGGTCTATAAACCCCTGCTTTCCTTCTGGAGTTTGGAATTTTGGTGTGTGCTTGGCAGTAGGCGCCTATATGACCAGCCCCCAATGAAAGCCTTGGGCGCCGAGTCTCTCGTGAGCTCTCCTGGTAGACAACATTTCACGTGTCTTGTCACAATCCATTGCTGGTAGAATTAAGCACATCTTATGTGACTCCACCGGGAGAAGACTCTCAGGAGCTTGTACCTGGTTTCCTCTTCACCTCATCCCATGCAATAATGTCATATCATGCACAGGGAAAAAGAGGCAGGGTTTAAGAAGATTAATCTATCATAACAGAGGGTCAGTCCATAACGTCTAAAGTTGTGAAAGAGAGGAGTGAAAGCACACCACTTAGAAAAGCTGAAGTTCGTTCAAAGGTAAATTTACTTTTTTTCTTTTAGTAAGTATCTCAAAGTAGTTGCCTATGGGACAGAAGGAGGAAGAGAAAAGTGTGGGCAGAACAGCTTTTTCCATTTTAAGACTTTTAAAAAACTTTAAAAATTGATAGTGAAAGCTCAAATGAAGAAGAGTCAACTGGAGAGAGAAGGCACGGGCTGGAAACGGGGATTAAAGGCCCAGAGAAGGGGCACGCAGACACATATTCAGGCCACTAAATAGTGGAGGGCAGGGGTGAAGGGCTGAAATGAAAATGGGAACCTTTGTCCAAATTCTGCACATTAAATAATAATTATGTGTTTGGTCAAAAATAGACAAAAGAATGCCACTAATTATTTAAACTTTTACAGGTATTAACGCATGTTTGTTTTGCTTCTACATATATTTAAAAAAAATCCAAGGCAATCTGTTTTTACTATACTTTGTATCATTTTTAATAAGTAAACTTAATATATGATTGGTGGGAGGGTTTTTTTTTTTTTTAACTATTAGGATTAATAAGTTTAAGCACTAAGAACTCAACGCTTATTAAGAGAAAATAGGGGCAGGTCCCAGTGAAAAGAAATAACTTGGTATTTTATCTAAGATAAAAAATAACGTTTAACATTTACTATGCCCACTTTGCAAATAAACACCAGAGTTTTTTGTGTAAAATTTTCTGGCTCTAAAGCAGGGGTTCTTACTCTTTTTTGGGTTAGGATCCTTTCCCCACAAAACAGATGCCACCATTTCAGGGCTCCACATATCTCGAGTTAAGGGCCCCTACCCTAACGTGATGCTGCATCTCAGAATAAAACGCAGGACCTTGGACAATAAGTCCAAATATGGAACATAAGCTCTCTCAAGCATGTTAGACCAGATAAGATTATTATTTCAGTTTCTTGGTCAAAGTTTTTTAAAAGCTACTATTGCTTTTGCTTTGCCACCTGCTATGGACTGAGTTGTGTCCCCTCTCAAAATTTATTTGTTGAAGCCCTAATCTCCAATACCTTAGAATGTGGCTGTACGTGGCAACAGGGCTTTTAAGGAGGTAAAGCTAAATGAAGTCATAAGGATGGAGCCCTAAACCAACAGGCCCAGTATCCTTCTAAGAAGACGGAGGGACACCAGGGATGCGTGTGCACAGAGACAAAGCCTCGTGAGGACAGCAGAAGAAGGTGGGTGTCTGTAAGCCAGGAAGAGAGGCCTCGGGAGAAACCAAACCTAAAAACACCTTGACTTCCGACTCCCAGCCTCCAGAACTGTGAGAAACCAACTTCTGCTGTTTAAGTCGCCTAGTCTGTGGAATTTTGCTATGGCAGCTCCAGCGAACGAATACACTGCCCAACACGGAAAAGGAGAAACGACTCTCTACATACCAAATGCACCTCCAATCTCAGCCCCGCTCGTTGGAATATTGACGTTTACAATGCCGCAGTCTGATCCTTTCGGTCTGTGTGTAAAAAGGGAGGCACGGTGAGAGCAATGGATAGGAAAGTAAAAAACAAAGTAAATAAATAAAAAATCCAAACAAAACCTCTAAGACTCTCAATGATGAAAAACGGATTGTCAACTACGATGATTTCATTTTCTTTTTTTTAAAGTCCATTCGCCACACAAATCAGACTTAGATACGTTTTGAAAATAGACAAAGTTATACCCAAGCCAGCGGAAGATTCTGCCCAAATCCTTGGTGAAGATGCTACTTGAAAGCCCCTGTTTTACTTCATTATTCCATGCAAAGACCTCTTCTTCATTCTAAAAAGACAGATGTTGGCAGCTGTTAGATGACATGCAGTGTTCAGGTCAAAGTTCACTGATGGTACACTCATTTCATGACATGTACCAGTCTAATTTTAGTGCACAAAAGGAAACTCAAGAATCAGCATCTTACTAATTTTATGTTTCTCTTATACAGTGCTTTGTGGGGTTTTCCTCTTAATTGTACTTTGAGAAACACACGGATGAGTATGTTCTTCCAACCAAGCTACTACATATACATAATAGCTAATATTCATTGAGCTCTTATTGTGCGCAACACACTGACCTAAGCACTTAGCATGCACTGAGTTACTTAACTCACCCTATGACACAGTTTTATATTACCCTCAATTTACAGATTAGGCAAGAGAGGCTAAATAATTTGCTCAAGAACTCATAGTCAAACACACACACACTACAAAACATGAAATTATACTGTCCAGTCACGTTATGTGCAACAATGATAGACAATTCAAAGCAAGATTTTTAAAAATGCAATCATATAATTACAACAAGGTGCAATTCTCATTATTCTATTAATCATGGCATATTCAAACCTTGAATCAGTCTCTAAATATTTGCTAGCGTGCCTAGGGCCTGTCTCATGCTGGGTAGAAGCTGACTTGACGGCCCACACAGTTCAGAATCTGGTGACATGAGACGAGGGCCCCATTCTCCATAGGGTCCCACATTGGTCCTCTGCTCGTCCTGGTTTCCCTGGTAGCTGGCGTGACAGGCTCTACGGCTTAAAGTGTTCATCTCATCATAGTTTATCCTTAACCTTCAAATTTCTACCAACCAGAATGACTTTCTAAAATCTCCCTAATTACGAATTGAGTGAAATTTAATACACCTTCATTTTCTCCTAGTCTTCGCATTTGTTTCAAACTTAGAGAAAAGAGAGACAGAACTCATTTTACCTTGAATTTAAAGACATAAAGAATCGGAGCAAAAGTCTCTGTGTGTGCAATGGACGCGTTGTGGGCAAGACCTGTCACAATCGTCGGTTCTACGTAATTTCCAGGGCGATCCATAACCTTCAGTAGAGGAATGAAGTAAAAAGAATAAAAGCATTTTGTTGTCAGAGGATACAATCTTTGCCTATACTTACAAGAAAAAAATAAACACCCTTTATAAGTGAATTATTTCTCCAAAATAACTTCCCATCATGAATGAGAATTTTCTCTGCCTTCCATTGGTTCTAACTTAGTTGATCAGAGAAAAATAGAAAATAGGAGACAAGGATAGAGAGCTGTGCATGTGTCATGACCAAGTTACACGGAAAAAAACACGGTTACAGGTGGTTATTTTAAAATTTCTATCACTTAAAAATAGGTAATCTATACCCACTGTGTTATGGACTGTATCGTGCCTCCCACCTCCAAATTCCTCTGCTGAAGCCTTAACCCCCTAGTGTGACTGAATTTGCAGACAGGACCTTTAAGGAGGTAATTAAAGGTAAATGAGGTCATATGGGTGGGGTCCTAATCTAACAGAACTGATGCCCTGCTAAGGGGAAGAAGACACACCAGAGACCTCCTCTCTCCAGGCATGGAGGAAAGGCCACGCGAGGACACTGCGAGAAGGTGGTCGTCTGCACGCCAGGAACAGAGGCGTCACCAGAAACCAACCCTGCCAGCACCCTGATTTTAGACTCAACCGCCAGAACTGTAAGAAACACTTCCGTTGTTTAAGACACCCAGTCTGCAGTATTTTGTGATGGCAGCCCTAGCAAACTAATACACATTGTACAGAAGTCAGACACTCCCAAAGGGGATACTGCAGACACTCTTTTAACCAACCCCCATGTAACCAAATTACTAGTTCACGTCCATTCAACTAATGCTCTCTTTTCCATCTATAAAATATCCCGATGCCCACAGCGAGCTGCTCGGGCTGGTGGTTAACTCTCCAGAGGCCTGTGTTTTTCCGCTTTCACCCTGAGCTGTGTTATTTACCAAGAGTCAGCTGCATTTACTCCCAATCCTGTGCATGGCAGCTGTATTTGTTATTGTAATGCCATATTACATTACATAACTTAAATATTACACTAAGGAAAAAAAGAGCTATTTCTAAAGATTAAGTTGAATGATTCAGAAAAAACTCAATATTAGTGAGTAACCAAAAAAATACACAAATATCCATACACACCTCTGTCCGATAAGATATGGGTGTGTCACTGATAAGATGACTGAGGGAAAGGATTCTGCTCTCAGATTGCTTTGCAAGAGACTCAGTTTCTCAGTAAATTTTAAAGAAAGTGAAACTAAATTATAGATAATAAATTATCGGCATAGCTTATGTAAGGATGAAGACAAATTCCTACGACACATGAAGAAAACACCTTGGTTCTACATAAGAAGAATCAAACAAATGCAATTATATGTGTTAAATTAAAATAAAATGTTTTTGGTATGTATTTTTGATTCCCTGCTTTACCTGACTTTTAGAAATAACCAGTAAATATGGATTCTAATTGCTCTGTATACAAAGTCTTCTGCCGTACCATGAAAATGAGGTCTCCTTTCCATACAAATTCCCAGGGACTCAATTCAAAGGCAACCATGGCTCTGAGTTTCTTTGATGTCCTTCCAGAAATATTCTATGCGTTTTATGCCGTCATTCTTTAACACATATATTTCCTCCTTACAAAAGGGATGGAAAAAAGAAAGATGGCCATCGGGGACCCTTCAACAATTTGCCCAGAGCCCTGCTTGTGCCTAAGGGAAAGGAAGTAAAAGTTTGTCACTAGCGATCTCAGTTTTCATTACCTTGCCACCATAGACCACGGTGCCACCTTCTTTCTTTGCTTCTTCCACTGCTCCAAGAAACATGCTCACTGCCTGCTTGGTATGGAGTGGCCCATAGAGCACATTAGCTGGAGAGAAAAAAGGAATGCTCTTCATTTCACCCTAAATGGCATCATTTTATTATTGTAACAGCTTTCCCAATGAACAGACCAATCGCTTCACACATCCTCTCAGTTTACAGCAGGAGTCAGCAACCTTTTCCTATCAAGGGTCAGATAGTAAATATTTAATGCTTTGCATGACCTATGTGGTCTCTGCCACAACCACTCAACTCTGCCACTGTACTGTGAAAACAGGCATGGAAGATATGTAAACAAGTGGGTGTGGCTTTGTCCTGATAAACTTTCTTTACAAAAATGGGTGGTAGGGCAAATCTGGCTGTCAACCCCTGGTTTAGAGTACTGGTTATCAGTTAAATGAAAGCACTGCATTAAAAATACAGGACTTGTTTATTCATTCCAGTGTGATCACTCTCAATGGGATCAACTCAGGCTCAGCAGGTGGTGTGCAACTCAAGGGGGAGAGACTGATGCTGCCCTAGGTATGGCTGCCGGAAACCAGAGCATTAGAGATGACCCCAGGCACAGAGGGAGAAGGAAGATTTAGAGAGGCCTCAGTCAGGAGGTGGCATTTGAGCAGAGCCAGTCACGGGAAGAACATTTCCAGCAGAGAGCAGTAAGACAGAGCCTGGAATTCCTGAAGCACTGGGAGAAGCTGGGGCTCAGGGACAAGGGGGCAAATGGTACACACGGGATCAGAAGCTGGGCAGGCGAGGAGGCAGGGTCAGATCACCAAAGACTGTAAGCCTGCACAGGAGGGACTCAGGAGGAATTTAGGTTTTAGTGTAAAAGCAATGAGAAGTCCCTGGAGAGTTTTAAGCAGGAGAGTGAATTATCTAATTACATTTTTAAAAATCACTCTGGTTACTGTCGAAGGCAGAAGGGGAAGCAGGCAAGTCAGTTTAGCAACTTGCATTCTTCCACGAGAGAGGATGGTGGTGACTCAGTCAAGGTAACAGTGGTGAAGGGAGAAAAGCTCATCAAACTCATCCCGTCTAAACACCAGCGCCCAGGCTCACCCACCAGCCCACATCAAGCACTCAGGATCCTAACCTAGGGGCAGACAAGTCCCTCCAAATGCCAAAGAACCTGCTTCATATGCCATCAACTCAGAAAAGGAGAAAAAAAAAAAAGTAGATGAGAACACTTATAACACCAGCTGTCCGAAAGGAGCATCTTTGAAATCAGTACTCACAGTCCCAGGGGTTCCCGACGCGAACCTGTGCATAGGCCTTTTTGAGTCTATTTACAACTTCGTCGTGGATGCTTTCATGTAAAAACTAAGTGAAAAAAGAAACAGTCATGGGAATAGTAAAATAAATGTACAAATCCATTAACGTACCATTTTTCTTAATATTATTAGTTTTTGAAATATTGTGATCTCTGAAAATAGAAGTATGTTTTTTATTTTAATAATTTTTAAATATTAAAATAATCATTATTTTAATAAATTTTTTAATTTCTAATTTTAATATTAACTACATGAAGACAATAGTTTCCCATAGGTGAATGTTAGAATAAAATCAAGAACCATGTCTTTATCAAGTTTCTAAGGACTTACTTGGCCAAAGTTCACAAATCAATGCTGTCTGTTTCTGTTCCAGAGAATTCGAAGTGTTAATTAGCAGGGAACCTCAGAGTACACCCGTCTCCCAGGGTACCCGTTCGAGTCTTAGTGAACACACACCACAACAGTCTGGTCAGCCTCCCTCTGCTAAGTAACCGCATGCCCTGAGCCTCAGGCTGAGCAGGTCTCCAGAGTGAGGCCTTAATCAGGTGAGGTCAGCCCTCGGACTCATTCTGGGTAGGATGTGAGCTTCATGCTACATTCCCAGTGGCAGAGGTGAACTTGTCAAACCATCCATTCTCTGGGTTGGTCTCCATGTGATGAATGGACCAACGTTATGAGAACTAGTCAGGGAGAGGTCTGTAGTACCAGAATGGTTTTTCCTACAAACCACTAATTGTCCCTATGGAAATCAATATGGGCATGACTAATAGCATCTTCTAATATTTAGCACTAAGTATAAAGCATGGCTATGTATATTTGCTCTAAGACACAAGGGAAAAATGAAAGTTGGCTGAATAGAGACATGCTTGCCTTTATGTCATTTCTTGTTTGACCGTGTAATGAAGGTTACCATCTTTTCGAGCATCCCTGCTTCCTTCTTAGCATTAATGTAATAAATGATTAAGCTGAACAAATTTAACAAATTGTAAGTAAGTACTTACAAGATAAGTATATCGTACCTTAGACTTTTTTGAGAACTTTCAAATGAATAATATAAAAACAAAGGAAAGATTGATATTCATTTGTTGTAAAATACAGGAAAAGATGAAAATGAAAAGTCATGGGGGGAGCCAGCCCCATGGCTGAGTGGTTAAGTTCGTGCACTCTGCTTTGGCGGCCCAGTGTTTCGCCAGTTCAAATCCTAGGTGCGCACATGCCACCGCTCATCAAGCCATGCTGAGGCAGCATCCCACATGCCACAACTAGAAGGACCCACAACTAAGGATACGCAGCTATATACCAGGAGACTTTGGGAGAAAAAGGAAAAATTAAAAAAAAAATCTTTAAAAAAAAAAGAAAAGTCATGGGAAAAGTAAAGACTTAACTTTCACATATCTTTTATTCTAATTAATTTAGATTATGTCCGCCTTATAAAGATTTTGATCATATTCATGATGGGTGACATTAAAAACTCAAAACGAATTCCTCTGTAATTTAATTGTAAACGACTTCTTTTTAAATTACGAGGAAAACTCAACAACAATAAAAAAATGGCAAATGTACCCCAACTTTGTACCCAACCAAAACTTGTTTGGTTGCAATATACACAGTTTTTCAGTATCATAAGAGTCATGAAAATCATGGTTGTATCCCACATAAGACTGAAATCCAGCTCAAGTCTAAGTGTGAACATTAAACTTCCCAAACCCCATACACTGAAGCTAAACAACATCTCGTTATATATACTTAGTATTAACGTGTCCTATACCTATGTGGTCAGACTATATAAAGAGAACACACAGACAGAGTCATTTGCTTTTCAATAAACCACGTCGCATCAAGTCAAATCTAAGACTTCGACTTACAGATTTAGTTTTTGAATTTTTCAAACTTTTAGCTTGTTTGATTCTCCAAGTGACACTGGACTTTGTCCACATCATTCTACATGTAGGACTGAAAATAGGTCTCATCTCCCAGTCCAACTTCAATCAATTGGCGTGAGACTATTTTTAGCTTGGGGGGAGGGCGGTAAGGCAGAGTCTCTCGTTGATTAGCAACATCTGCCATGAGCACAGAAGACAGCAGGGCCACACGTTTGCCAACCACATCTAGAGAATACATTTTTCTAGCAGTACTTCTATGACACCTCCCTAACAGTACAATTTGTTAAACTGTTTGAAGATAGGACAATCTCACGTGCCTATGCAGACACACTCACCAGGCGCCTTGCGGTGGTACACCTCTGGCCAGCTGTCCCCACGGCCGCAAAGAGAGCTGATGGAACAACTAAACTGAGGTCTGCATCCTCAAAAGCTTAAAGAAGCACAAACACACACTCATCAGTGTCTCGAAGTAGGCAGACAAGGTACTTGTAACTGGTATAAAATGATGTCTTGAGAAAGCGCAATAAGAGAACATCAGAACTTCCCTGTAAAATAAGCATGTTCACATTGCAGAGGCAACTTTTCTTCCAAGGAAGATGATATGAGAATAGAGCAATGAGCTCTATGGTCTTCACCCAAGTACAGATGTAAATTGAGGCTCCTACTTCTTCATCTTTCATCTCGCAAAGTTTCTGATACTAAGTCTCCTCTGTCCCCTCATTATGTGGTCTCTTCTCTAAGCCCACCATCTTCTTTGTCAGTGACTTACCTTCAGTCTCCAGCCTAGGGCCCATCTTGATGCTGGCTTCCCTGGGACCAGAGAGGGCAAGAGGATTCTTCTGATTATCATCACCATCTAACCATGCTCTCCAGCAACATCTACACCCTCACCTGCAGCAGTCCATGCCCTTAAATTCCTCTCGTTGCCCCTCTACAGCTTTTCCAAGTCTCTGAAACCCCTCAAGCTTTTTACTCCTGCACCAAAGGACCTCACCCCCTACTTCATGGAAAATGTCCAAGTGTTTTTGGTTTGTTTTTTATAAAGATCGGCACCTGAGCTAACAACTGTTGCCAATCTTCTTTTTTTCTTCTTCTTCATCTTCTCCCCAAAGCCTGCCAGTACATAGCTGTATATTCTAGTTGTGAGTGTCTCTGGTTGTGCCATGTGGGACGCCGCCTTAGCATGGCCTAATGAGCAGTGCCATGTCCATGCCCAGGATCCAAACCAGAAAAACCCTGGGCCACCGAAGCAAAGCAGGCAAACCCAACCACTCGGCCACGGGGTCAGCCCCTGTCCAAGTGTTTACACAAAAGGCCTTTTTCAGCTTCCTCTGAAGAAATGAATACAAAATCACTTTCAAATTCCTCTCTACTTTTGTCTATTCCTTCCTCTTCTGCCTTGAAAGAAAAACTAGTCTTTACAAGGTTAACCTTTCTATTTATGTTATTTGTAATTTCTTCCTTCTCATCCCTTCCAGAAATTTACAGTCTCAATTTCCTCTTATATCTTCAACTTTTCCCTGTCCAATTTAATAGCATTCTCAAATAGCAGATGGTTAAGAAGGTGGCCTGTGTAACCAAACAGACCAGGGTTCTTGTCTATCTCCTCCACTTTTTTTTTTTTGGTGAGGAATATTGGCCCTGAGCTAATATCTGTTGCCAATTTACCTCTTTTTGCTCGAGGAAGATTTGCCCTGAGCTAACATCTGTGGCAATCTTCCTCTATTTTATGTGGGATGCCACCACAGCCTGGCTTGATAAGTGGTGAATAGGTCTGTACCAGGATCCGAACCTTTGAACCCTGGGCCACCGAAGCAGACCACGTGCACTTAACCACTACACCACAGGGCCAGCCCCTTCACCACTTTTTAATTGTGTTATTTTACCTTTTTGAGCCTCAGTTTCCTCATCCGTAAAATGGATAATGATGTCTGAGGTGCTGACAAATGATAGTAAGGAGTTAAGGAAAGAGCTGTGCTCTGGGGTCTGATTATCAGGATACAATCGCTGGCTCTGTCACTGGTGAGCCTGTCACTTCAGGCACATAATCATCTGAAGCCTCAGAGTGTAACCTCCGAATGAGATTAATAATGGTATCTACCTCATGGGATTATTGTGGGCATTAGATAAAATGATGCATAGGAAACAGCTGAGCACAGTACCTGGCAAACGCCAGTGCCCACTAAATGCTAACTATACATGGAAACGAACTCTCCCTCTAACTAGGTTAGAAGTTCACCCAGAACAAACCCTTCAGCATGCACTTCTTAAACTTCTGGTACACACCACTAAGATCCAGGCATTTAAACACGATGATAATGATGGCAACATAACAATTAGCAAGTTTTGCTTTCTATCACAAAATCCATGCTTCTACTAAGTCTCAGCATACTGATGCTCATTACAGTATCCAGAAGTTACGCTGGTAGACTCCTTTTGCGCCAAACAGTTGAAAAAAAGAAGTAATACCCAATCCTATAGGTAAGCGATGAGATGCCTTAAGGAAGTGTTGCTTTCCAATAAAAAAGCACTTAATATTCTTCTAAAGACAAATTGATGTTTGAAATCAAAAGGAATCAGCAAGTGACAGAACAGTCACTCACTTATTCTAGAGAAACATGTGGCCAGTTTCCAGAAAATAGGAGAAGGAAAAACAAGAAACAATGCCACACTAGGAAGTCTCAAACACAGGTTCTAAGCCCCAGGTAACATTTTCCAAACGTGAACCCCTTTCCTTCCTAGTTATCTCTGCCTTCAAACCAGTGTGTCCCGCTCACAAGTAAAGCTCCTAACATGGGAATTAGGTCACAGACACACATAGTATAGAAGGGACGAGTTCCTACACAAACAAGTTCTATATATTCAGGATGGCTGTTGGAGCTATTCTGAACCGAAAAACAAGCAAACCGAAAAATAAAGGGCAGCCTTACCAATAATGGCATTGTTTCCTCCAAGCTCTAACAAACTTCTCCCTTTAAAAATATATAAATGCAAATTAATGCCTATTTTAGTATTTAATGCACACTGCTATATGGTGTCAAATCATAGCGTATCCTAATTAAGTTTTATTTTCCTATTTAAAACATAGCATGATTTTGCATCAATGTCCAATTTCCTAATTTTAATAATTGCACCATGGTTATATGACAGAATGTCCTTGTTCTTAGGAAATACACCAAAATATGTAATGGTAAAGGAACACAATGTCTGCAACTTTCTCAAAGGTTCAAAAGTAATATGCACCCAAAATGTGTGTGTGTGTATGTTGGAGAGGGAGAAAATGATAACCAAATGGGGCAAAATGTAAGCAAATGGTGAACCTCATTAAAGGGTATACAGGAATTCCTTGCATTAGTCTTGTAACTTTTCCCTAAGTTTGAAATTACATCCCAAAAAACTCCAAATAGTGCAAAATGGTACAGTCACTGTGGGAAATCATACGACAATTTCCCAAGAAATTAAACACAGAATTACCAACGATCTAGCAATCCCACTTCTGGGTACCTAACCAAAAGACATGAAAGCAAGGACTTGAACAGATACTTGTACACTCATGATCATAAGAGCATTATTCACAATAGCTAAAAGGTGGGAGCAACCCAAGTGTCTATCGACAAATGAATGGATAAACAAAACGTGATGTCTACATACAGCTTTAAAAAGGAAGGAAATTATGACACATAATATGGACCAACCTTGAAGACATTATGCCAAGTGAAGTAAGTCAGACATGAAAAGACAAATATTGTGTGATTCTACTTATATAAGGTTCTTAGAGTAGTCAAATCCACAGAGACAGAAAGTAAAATGGTGGTTGCCGACGGTTGGGAGAAGGCAGTAATGGGGAGTTAGTTTTAATGGGTACAGAGTTGGGAAAACAAAAAAGTTCTGGAGATGGACAGTGGTGATGGTTGCACGACAATGTAAATATACTTAGTGCCACAGAACCGTACACTTCAAAGTGATTAAAAAGGTAAGTTTTATGTTATATATATATTTACTACCACACACAAAAAAGTTGAATAACATGCTTATTCTAGAAAATTATTTTTAAAAAGAAGCAAGCATCAAGCAGGCAAAAAGCTATGGGCCATAGGTCACCACAAAATCTCTCTTCATAATTTGGTATAGTGTCTTCCAAGCTCTCTTCTGTGCATTTATATTTAGTTGAGATCATACTATCTAATTAATTTTGCTTTATTTTCCGATTAATATACCTTTTCCCTAACTTATTAAGAGCTGTTTAAAAAAAAAAATCACTGCATAGTATTCCATCATGATGATGTACCAAATTTTATTTAGCTACTTCTCTAGTGTTGAATATGTTGGGTACTGATTATTAACTTGGTTATCAACTTAGGTCAGGGCCAAAGGGTATAAATGTGAGAGCTCCTGATATACAATGCCAACCTACATTCTAGGAAAGTTATACAGCAGGCTATGAATGCCATTCTTACTTTATACTCCCCAGCATGAAGATTTGAGATTTGTTTGCCTCAAATTTTTTTTTCCCCCTCAGGAAGATTGGCCCTGAGCTAACATCTATTGCCAATCTTCCCCTTTTTGCTTGAGGAAGATTTGCCCTGAGCTACGTGCCAAGCCTCGTCTGTTTTGTATGTGGGTTGCCACCACAGCATGGCCACTGATGAGTGGCATAGGTCCACGCCTGGGGAGTGAACCTGGGCTGCCAAAGTGGAGTGCACTGAACTCCACCACTAGGCCACAGGGCTGGCCCCTGCCTCAATTTTAGAGCTGTATTTACTACTGATCTTTAAAACATAAATTTATTTTTCCTTAAATGCACTTTAAAATCAGCTTCCACATGAGTAACTTTTATTTATTTTGGATATGAGGAGCTTACGTGACAGCAGGAGACTATGTTCTCACCTCTGCCACTCTGAAACAATTAAGCCTCAGGTGGTTATTAATTATAAGGGGTAGGGCTGTTACTACCAAAAGCCACTGAGCACTACCTCAGCTTGTCTCCACTGCAACAGTTAATTTAACGACAGCTTGCTGGTTGCAGCAGAGCACTATCCTAGGTGCTAAGAAAAGGAAGGAAACAGAAAATTCTACACCTAACATGGGCTCCTCCTGCCTGGCTTCAAGTGATATGCGGCAGAAGAGGAGGGACTTATACTTTCTATATCCTTCCAGTTCTCTATGTGCTCCCTAACCACACTCAGAACCGCCAACCCCCTCCAAGAAAGCAGCTGTAACTTACAACAGGCAGATACATTTTTTAAAAATTGTAATCCTACTAATGGTACTACTTAAGAGAGAACAAACCACTGCTTTGAGTAAGAAGGGGAAGGGAGAAGGAGAAGATGAAATCTCCTAGTGAAAGAAGCAGGACTAATCATCTTGAGCACCTTTATTTGCACATGCTTATCGGCCATTTGTATATCTCTGAAGAAATACCTATTCATTAGAATGCTGTCCCATTTTTTAATTGGGTTTTTTATATTGTTGAATTGTAAGAGGTCTTTATATATTTTAGATACAAATCCTTGATCACCTAAAGGATTTGCAAATATTTTCTCCCACTCTGTAGACTGTTCTTTTCATTTCTTTGATGGGGTTTTTTGAAACAACAAAAATGTTGGATTTTGATGAAGTCTAAATTATCTGTTTTTTCGTGTGCTGCTTGTGCTTTAGGAGTCACATCTAAGAAACCATTGCCTCATCCAAGGTCACAAAAATCTATTCCTATGCCGCCTTCTAAGAGTTTTATAGTTCTAGCTCTTACATTTAGGTCTGATACATTGTGAGTTAGTTTTTGTGTATATGATGAGGTAGGGGTCAACTTCACACATACCTATGTGGATACCTGGTTATCCCAGCACCATTTGTTGAAAAGACCATTGTTTCCCATTGAGATGTTTTGGGACCCTTGTCAAAACTCAATTGACCATAAATGTAAAGGTGTATTTCTGGGATCTGAAGTCTATTCCTCTGATCTTTACATCTATCCTTATGCCAGTACACAGTCTTAATTACTGTACTTTTACCGTAAGTTTTGAAATTGGGAAGTATGAGTCCTCTGACTTTGTTCTTCTTTTTGAAGATTGTTTTGGCTATTTGGGGTCCTTTGCAATTCATATGAATTTTAGGATCAGCTTGTCAGTTTCTACAAAGAAGCCAGATGACATTCTGAAAGGGCCTGTACTGAGTTTGTGGAGCACTTGGACTGTATTGATCTTGGACAGTAACAATATTAAGTTCTCCAAAAAGTGAAAGTGGGATATCTTTATATGTATTTAGGTCTTCTTTAATTTCTTTCAATGGTGCTTTGTAGTACTCTGTGTGAAAGACTTATACTTCCTTTGTTAAACTTATTCCTAAGTATTTTATTCTTTTTGATGCTACTGTAAATGAAATTGTTTTCTGAATTTCATTTTCAGATGGTTCATTGTTAATATATAGAAATACAATTGAAGTCAGAGGGAGAAAGTCAAATACCATATGATCTCACTCATAAGTAGAAGATAAAAACGACGACACACAAACACATAGAAAAAGAGACTGAATTGGTGGTTACCTAATGGGAAGCGGGGAGGAAGGAGGGTGAAAGGGGTGATTAGGCTCACATGTGTGTGGTGATGGATTGTAACTAGTCTTTGGGTGGTGGACATGATGTAATCTACACAGAAATCGAAATACATAACGAGGTACACCTGCAATTTATGTTATAAAAACCAGTTACTGCAATAAAAAAAAATTTTTTTAAAGAAATACAATTGACTTTCGAATATTGAACCCTGCTGACCTTGTTTATCAGCTCTAATAGTTAGTAAACTTGCGTTTTAAAAGCAATGCTCATACAGCAAAATGGCTGGCAGATTAACTAGTCAAGTCTCCTCTTATGCTAGGGTTAGAGTCTAAATTCAGCATAATAGCCAAAAATTGAAAGTCAATATTATCCTTGGAAACCACTTTAATGAGCCACAAAGTGGAGCATACAAAGCTCTGTCTATACAACCCTTTTCAGTCATATATACATGAAATATAAACGATAGAAGAACAGGTAAGTCTTCTGTTCCACATTCGCTCTAGGTCCTGTACACCCACTCATCCTGCATAAATTGTGAGTTCTCTTTTTTTAATTTGTTAATCAGGCCTGATAGAAATTGATAAATATATTTGATACGATTCTACTATAGTCATTTAGGAGGATAATGACATCCTTTTCCAAATTATGCTATTAAATTCAGGACCTCTCTAATATCAACCCACTAATAACAATACTCTTTCTTTCATTTGGACTTTGAGATAAATGGCTGATGTCTCCATGGAAAGGGTCAAGGAAAAAAACCTCAACTTTTAGATTTCACATCCACACCAGAGGGAATTAAAATCCTCATTAGAAAGCCAACACTTACCAAACCTCTCCTGCACCATAAGGGCCACCTGTTTTCCCACCTGAGTGCTCCCAGTGAAGGACAGCAGGTTCACTCGCTCATCTTTGGCCATTGCTGTGCTGCAGGGGAACAGACACGGTCACCCAAGCAGAGAAACCCAGCAACGGTGGCACCTGACAGACTAGACAACTCTGACCTGGGGTCTCGTCATCGAAAGTCAGTCAAAGACACAAGGAAGCCTATCCCAGGGGAGCAAGGGAAGGTGTTCATGAAAATGAACTAGATTCTCACAAGGACAACCGTACAACAGAACAAGCTAACCTGCTCTGTGAGCTTTCTGTAAACAGAAATCACCTCGAGGACGTTGTTAAGGAATTAAGTCCCTCCTGTACTGAGTGGGTGACTAGACAACGCGACCTTAGCACTTCCTTGATGAGCATCCCAGTTATTCTGCAGACTCTTAAACTACTAATTCCCTTAAGAATTAAAAGTCTAAAGACTGTAAGGAAACATCCTAAGTATCCCTCACGGAAGCTGACTTATAAAGGCTGTGCTGGGATTTCCAGCTGCTTCTAAGGAATGTAGACGAGAAACTAAGGATTTGAACCCCTTTCCTCATAGTTTAGTGCTTCAAAGGCATTGGGCCAAGCAGGGCAGTTACAGCATCAGGGTAATGTAGGGCTGGAACAGCTTGACGAGATTAAACACGTAGGCTTCCCCAAGTTCAGCCCAGCAAACATGAGCACTGATACTCAGGGTGGCTGCTGCTTCATGCACTCCTGCATGCACTACTGTAATTATTTGAGCTATTCCAAGGTCAACACGAGGGACTGGCTGCCCAAAGTACAAGAACAGAGTGGGTCAAAGGATAGGCTAATCATGTTTTAAATGACATTTAGATAGTACTTGACTATGCATTCTATATATGGGAGTTGTATTTTCTAATATTTTCTCATTTATATGAAAAAAGGAGTAATTTATTACTTCTTTTTGAGATTACCTATTAAGTACAGTAGTACCGTCAAAGCAATGGAGGGAAACTAACATTTTAACTACACCAGTACGGGTTTATGAGACCTGACTCCTATAAAACCTCACCTAATCAAAGACTAAGCCAGTAATAAAACAACCTCAGCATGGTTCAGAGCAATTATCATCAGTTCCAGCTTAAAAAGAGGCTATGGCATTATGCTAAAAGAAGCCAGATACAAAAGGGCACATATTGTATGATTCTATTTACATGAAATGTCCAAAATAGGCAAAGCCAGAGACAGAAAGTAGATAAGTGGTTGCCAGAGGCTGGGGCAGGGGCGATGGGCAGTGACTGCCAATGGGTATGAGGCTCCTTTTGAGGGTAATACAAATGTTCTGGAATAAGATAATGGTGATGGTTGCACAACATGGTGAATCTTCTAAAAACCACTGAATTACACATTTCTAAACAGAGAATTTTATGGCATGTGAATGATATGGCGATTTCCAAAAAACGGTAAATTTTTTAAAAGAAGTTATACTCCCAGAGCTCCCTTTTTTGGTCAGCCGAAGAACCCAGCCAATTGGATAGGTTTCCAGCGGGGAGTGAAACCCTAGACTACAGTCTCACAGCTTTGCTCTGTAAGCAAGCACCTTTATGACCTTTATAAATCAAGCGTCAGGAAGCCCTGGACTGTCCACCGGGAGAGCAGTTTGTTATCTTAGGATTTAAACACCTTCCAGTAGTAGCTCTGGGCAATGAAAAAGCCAATTCTTACTCATCTTCCATCAGAGGCTATGCATTAATAAAGTAAGAGCCCAGTGAGGTCCATAATAATGATGATTCCAAAAAGTCATTCTCACCTCCTCTGGGGTACTGGATTTCACTACTCTAATAAAGATGGATCTAGTCAGTCATCCAGCATCCTTCTACAGAAAGACACCCTCGGGCTGTTAACCTACCCAAGATCTGCTCCACCACAAGTCAAGGAACAAATCGCACCAGGCAGCTTGTTGTCCTCCAGAACCTTGGCTATTATCCTAGAAAGAAAAAGCAATTACTAAGTAAGGAAATAATTTAATTTCTTAGGATTTTTTGAAAAACTAGGAATAAATTCCAACCACCTGACTTTCCTTTTTCAACTCTCTCTCCCAGCCCTCAAACATCCAGGCCTCAAGTTCTCCTGACATATTAGAGATATGGTTTTCAAACACTTAAAAGCAGAACTCTTTTTTTTCCTAAAAGAATCTTAAGAAGAAAAACACAAACAAAATGAATAAAAGACATAAAGCAACGGTTAGGCAGCTCAAATGATCATTGTTCTCAAGTATTTTCTGCCAAACTATGAAGATATATCCGGTTCAAGATGGTAGACTGACTGCAGGGCATTTTTTTTTTTTTTGCAGACCACAAATCCATTAAAATGATGGCAAAGAAATAAAAAAAGAAATAATATGGAATAAAATCTAGAAAGATGAAGAAAAAGAAGGAAACGAGAGCCTTCAACACATCTCTGCAAAGCAGAGCCAGCCAGAAAAGTGAGAATGAAAAGGAAAAGAGATTCCCCACAACCTAGAGTAGATGCTGAGGAGATACAGCAGAGGGAGCTGGACCTGCCCACAGAACCCTCAAGAAGTTCAGGACTAGCGTCCACTGGCTCCACACCAAACCTCCTGGTCAGGAAACATGAGCACCCTCCAGGCTAAAGTACTGTGGATAAACACAGTTTTTTGTTAATTAGTCTCCCACAACTTATGCTATTAGAGTTAAGATGATAAATACAGTTCAATGCTACTTAAATCTGATTTCAAGTTGTATAAAATGGCTCTAGTGGGTCTGGCCTGGTGGCGTGGTGGTTAAATTTGTGCGCTCCGCTTCAGCAGCCCAGGGTTCACGGGTTCGGATCCTGAGTGTGAACCTACCTACCACTCGCCAAGCCACACTGTGGCAGCATCCCACATACGAAATAGGAGGATTGGTACAGATGTTAGTTCAGCAACAATCTTCCTCAAGCAAAAAGAGAAGGAATGGCGACAGATGTTAGCTCAGGGCCAACCCTCCTCACCAAAAAAAAAAAAAAAAAAAGCCTCCAGTAAGTCTGGTTTCTCTGAAACAGAGTTCTTCCATTCATTTTGAACTTTTTGAGGAGTATGGATCTAAATAAGCACAGGTTCTTTTCATCAATCACCCCAACTTGCTGGAGACTTTCAAATTTGTTTAATTTTAAAAAGATCCAAACCCTACACTCACTGCCATAAAAAAGACACCATTGTCATACGTAAGTAAATTTTCCAATCGTCACCAAAAATGTCCACTACAGCAGTTTTTTTTTTTCCATCCGATCAAGGATCACACATGGCAGTTGCACATCTGAGACCTGGTGTTGGGTAGTACAATTCTTCCAGGGACTTAGGGTGCATCTACTGTCTGCACAAGTGGACTGACTGCTCTGGAAGGGGTGGGATTTTGCTTTGGACCTGTGAGTAAAGATTAACAAACACCCTTCCCCTAATGCATGAGAATCTGACCTTGGGTTAACTCTCTAGTTCTGTTCCACAAGTTACCTGATAAACATCAGAATGTCAACAATGCTACACAGACAACATGGCTTATGGTAAAAATGACCCTCCTAGCCATCTGCATCTGGACTGCGATAACCACCTGAGAACTAGAAATGGGAACCTCATGCTTCTAGGCCTGGCCTGAGTGCAGTGACTCCTGTAACTGCATGTCCCTGTGGGCGCTGAAAGCTACACCTATAGATTTCTTACATGCCAGTTTGGCTCCTGTGGGGCATTAGGCTTTTAAGCCAGGGCCACCCCCCATCTGCCCAACGCAGATCTCATCTCCTTACCCCTGCATAAACTGCTACAAAGACGCTGACTAAAGAGGAATGTCTGATGCTATCCTCTCAGCAAACTTTGTTCCTGTCCCACATCCTTCCGAATAGGCAGATGTACCAGAAGTGGCCCATGCTCGTCTTCTGAGTCTGAATGTTTAGCTGAATTTAAGAACTCCTGGTAGACACTGTTGTACCCTTGATTAATTCCAGCAAAATTCAGCATCATTTTGCTTATTGTCTTCCATTACAAAATCAGATAATATTCTCAATTATCTAAAAAATCAGCCATGTTGCTATATGAACATTTCAAACCCTTCAAACGGCTTAAAGCAAATAAATATAAAAAAGCTCAGAGCCACAATAACTTAGAACATTTGAAACTAATATTAAAATTAATATTTTAACCAGCTGCTTAACAATAATTGGCAAGTTAGTTCACTATGTTTACATTAACTGTTTTAAGAGTTTTTTATTCTTGAAAACTTCCTGAAGAAACTCATCAATTTTATGTGTTTTGTATAGCAAAGTTCTATTTAATATTTAATTTGAACACCCCTGCCTTGGAGAATATCGTTTCCTCAATATCACATATTTCTTTCAAGCAAACACTCACACACACTACTCTTTCTTAGCCCCCGTTTCAATTCCTAAGCCAGTGTTCCTAAATGATCTTCCAACACTAAGGACCCTCTTACATATGGTTTCCACCACAGCTTTCTACCGACAATCCTTAAATAAGAGAATGCAGACCAGGCAACAATGGAGCATCACGGGTGCACCCTCACCCTACGTGAGAAGGTGCCCTCTTCCATACATTCTCTAAATTCTGAATGAAAAATTAGTAACACTGAATTTATGACCTAATCAGAGTTTTCAAGTTCTCAAATGTGAATAAATAAAACATCAATAATGTCTTAATCAAAAGATGAAATATATTTTAGATAGAAGAATCAGTGGAATAGTATAACCATTTCTTTCTGTTTGGCTAACAGCCTATCAAACAAAAGCAATAAAAGTATTAGCTGGGTAGGACAAAAACCATTAACATGTTGAATAGTTATAAAATATAGCCCATAGGGGCCAGTCTGGTGGCCTAGTGGTTAAGTTTGGCATGCTCCGCGTCAGCAGCCTGGGGTCAGTTCCCAGGCACAGACCTATGTGGCGGCAACCCAGATACAAAATAGAGGAAGACTGGCACAGACGTTAGCTCAGGCTCAATCTTTCTCAAGCAAAAAGAGAAGAATTGGCAACAGAGGTTAGCTCAGGCCGAATCTTCCTTAGGGGAAAAAAAAACCATAAATTGCAAGGATATTTCCTTTCCACTGCATTTGTTTTTATTTTGCAAGTGACAAAAATGTTTATAATAGCTCAAGTTCAACATATATCAATATCTGACATGTTTCCAAAGAGTTAAATGATGTGGCTCTGAAAGAGCTCTATCAACTGCAAAATGATACAAAAATATTATTATAACCAAAGGAGAAAGAGGTTATCCAAATGCCATGCTTAAATAAATGACACTTTCACGTCAGATTAAATTCAGTGCCTATGAGTGCCTTTCACAATTATTTCATACCCAGGAAAAAGGAAGCCACGCATACTTACTTTGTAACAGCCACACTAATGAGGGAAGTTGTTGGAGCTCCTTTCCTTGAGAGAGGGGAAAAAAGGCAACTTAATTTGCTGGAAATCATAAATACCTTTTATTATCAAGCAGAAGCAAAAGTTGTGATACAAAGTTCTGTCCAATTAGACAATTGAGTCTAATAACTAAAACAAGAAATCTGTCCTTGAGCTTGTTGTCTCTGGGGCCTAAGGGACGAAAAAACTCTCATGAATATAAAAATGACACCAAGCAGTTTTGAACCTGCTGCTGCACTGATCACATGAACTGTTACGTTACTGCTGCCAATTTTGAGAACTGAGTGAAACAGAGATCAATCAACATGAACTCTTGTTGGCAGGCTCAAGAGCTGAGAAAACCTACATGGTAGCCTTTGGCAACACGGTGTCAAATCCTCATCCTCCCACGATGCCTTGCTTTTGTAGACAGTCTTTGAGCACATTCAATTGCATACACGACATCAAGATCCCTACAAAACTAGTGGGACAGGTGCAAAACAGGCAAGGACAGCTCCTGGTTTTCCTGGCCTAAGTTCTTTCACTGAACACGAAACCTAAAAACAAGCAATATTCTGTCATCTATAAAAGAGTGACATTTTCACAGCTAACTTTTACTATCAAATATTTTAGAGAAATGTAAAACTTAATCCATCAATGGGAACATTGGCCCAGTGCCTCAGAATCACTTGGGAATTCACTACCAAATTTTTATTCAAGGAAAAAAAAAAGTCAAACTCTAAAAAGAAGGTTGTGACTTATCACAAGTTCTTTTTTTTTTCTTTCAGTTGTTTATTTAGTTTGCTATTTGGGGAGTGTAGTATAACAAAGAATATATCTGGTCTTTGTCCCTAGTTTCTGGCACAAAGCTTCAAAATCCCTTGGAATTTCCTGAGTGATAGAAGTGTCTTTGTTATGCTAACGAGGTGACCTGTGGGGGTCCCTAGATAGCTTCAGGATGGGGGCTGGTCACTGGTCACCAGAAAGACCAACCAGGGAGAGGGGAAGAGGAATGGAGATTGAGTCAACCACAGGTCCAGTGATTTAATCAATCATGCCTATGTAACAAAACTCCATTAAAAACTCTGGACACCAAAGCTCAGTGGAGTCTCCTGGCTGGAAAGGTGTCACGTCCTCACTTAACAGGGAGAGGGCATGGCAGTTCTGCTTCTGGGACACTTCTGGACCTTGCCCTTCGTGCATCCTTTATAATAAAACTGTGATCATTAAGTATTGTGCTTTCTTGAGTTCTGTGGGTCATTCTAATGAATTGTTGAAACCGAGTGATCATGGGAACCTCCGAAATTTGTAGATGGCTGGTGAGAGTGCAGATGTCCTGGGGACCTGGAGACACTTGTGGCTTGCATCTAAAGTGGGGGAAGTCCCACGGAGAACTGAGCCCTAAAATATGTGGAGTCAGACACTAAATCCAGGTAGTATCAGAATTCAATTACAGTACACACGCTTGGGGTGGAAACAGTTGGGAGGAATAGGGGGACAGGGGACAAGGCTATGTCAAAAAAAATTTTGCCAATGATAAAATTATGTAATAATTAAAAATCAGCATTTCACAACTAGCAGTGTGACTTAATATGTTAAATGAAAGAGTAGAGTAGTAGAAAACATTCAACACATTTAAAATAGTTTTTGCAGTTCCTGAAAATGGCTACTTTTATCATCTTACTAAGATGATAAGTGAGATAAGAAAGAGATAAGAGATAAGATAAGAGATAAGAAAGTGAGCAGGTCTTACCAAAGGCAGACATTCCCACAGATCATTGCAATGGCATTGTTCCAGCCATACACTGCCACAGGGAAGTTGAACGCAGTGATGATTCCAACCAGACCTACAGGATTCCACTGTTCAATGAGTGCATGGCCAGGTCCTGAGGACAGGGAGAGGCATGGAACATGCTTAAGCATGCTAATTTAATGCATGTCAAATTAATAAGAACAAAGTCTGAAATCTTCCATTTCCAGAACAAAGGTGCACTGGACCAAGTGGGGATTTTAGATGCCTTGTAGCGGATCACTCTACACAGCTGTGGGATATCGGTACATTAATTAGCACACAGAGCTGTTATTACTACACTACCTTATAAACCATAATGATACCTATTTATGCCTCTGACCCTCAGAGGAACTGTGTGGATCAGGGCAGTATTCATCCCAGCTGGGAGACAAGGAAACTTCAGAGAGGGGATGAGAGGTGCCCCAGTGATGTGACTGCAAAGGGCCAAACATCCAGGACACAGCAGTTGTGACTCTCAGGCCCGGGTTATTTACATTGCCTGACAAGCCCTCAGCTAACTTCTCCAAATGCAAGACAAGGCGGCTCATTTATGGGGGGAAAAAAAAAGTTCTAATAATTACATGTATATTGAATGAATTGCACAAATCTTTACATTCACTATAGGAAAACTGAAAATAAAACTTTAAAGACACTCACAATCCCGCAAGGGGTTTATTTTAATCATAGGCAGCTGGAGCAGTGAACAAACGCAGCAAGGACTGTGACGGTTCACAAACCCTGGTTAAAACCACAGACCAACCAAAAGGCAGCTCTCCCACCCCTCCATCTTTGTGGCCATGCTCACACTGCGAGCTAGAAACGGGGAACCCGCCCAATGCTGTGCCTCATTCCCAGGCCCTCCTTTAGCCTAGGTATCCTAATCTCTGTTGAGATGATGTGCCAACCTGGCAGCACCTGCCTCCTCTCCTGCCCTCCCCTCTCTCTCCTTCTCCCCAAGGAGCCCAGTGCAGATCTGATGACATCACTCCCTTGCTTACAACTCTTTGGTGTCTGGACCACTACTGCAGCTGCCCTCAGGATAAAGTGCACACTTCCTGACAGGAAAGACCCTCTGGAGGCTCCTGCTCCACCCATCCCTCCCCTCATACTGTGCCCTCCCCCTGAAGGGATAGTTTCCCAAATAAGCCACATTCTCCCATTTTAAGCTTTCACATGGGCTTTTTCCCTGTTTCAAACCAGCCATGGCCCAGCACTCCACCGTATTCTTCCTTGAGGACTTCACTTAGATCACGTTCTCTGGGAGGCCTTTCCTGACTGCCACCACAAGGCTGGCTCACCATCCTATCCTCCACCCCATCACAGAGCTCACTACACCCTACTAATTACCCTTTAACTTGTCCCCCACTCTAAAATGTAGGGAATCTATATGCTTATAAATTCCTTGAGGGGGCCGGCCCCGTGGCCAAGTGGTTAAGTTCGCACGCTCCGCTTCAGCGACCCAGGGTTTCGCCAGTTCGGAACCTGGGCACGGACATAGCACCGGTCATCGAGCCATGCTGAGGCAGTGTCCCACATGCCACAACTTGAAGGACCCACAACTAGAAATGCACAACTATGTAACAAGGGGCTTTGGGGAAAAAAAGGAAAAATAAAATCCTTAAAAAAAAAAATTCCTTGAGAACAAGGACTATGCCCTATCGATCATATATCATTATTAGATCACCTGGTAGACACTTAACGACCATTTATTGCATTAATGTAGTCAAAGTGACACCCAAGCCTCTGCATTGATGAATAATCTACTCTTTTTCAAAAATGTATAAACAACTGAAAAACATTTTAATTGGTAAGGCAGACATTATATAGGTATAAATCAAAGAAATCACTTGCTTGCACAGGTATACTTCCTCAAATGGGCAGTTTACTAACTTTTTCAACTGAAAAAACCTACTACAAGTGTTCAGTGATACAAAATTAATTTTGAATAACAGGAATTGTTGTTACATATCTAAGTACATTAGATATTTAAAAAGGGCCCCTCAATTCTTCCTATGAGTAGGGAATTTGCCCAACATTCCAAGAAAAATAGAAAAACATGAACATCAAAAAAAAGTCCTTTCTTTTCCTAATTATAAATGTAACATAACTCCCCATCAAGGAAATCTGGCCAAGTATAGAAAAATAGAAGGACAGTAACAACAAGCAATAATTCTGTCACACACACATACCCGCTGTTACCACTTTGGCACAGCTCCACCACTTGAATTTTCAGTGCAGATACACAAGGTCACCTGGTTTGCTCCATTAATACTGAGAACATTACAAATCACATAAGCCCTTAGCCTCATCAATGAAACCTCCTCAGAGTACCAGGTTGGTCCTCACAACATAGTCTAATAGTGAAAGACTAAAAACATCCTAAATATCCATCATTTGGGAACTGGCTAAATTAATTAATAATACCTTTACTGCAAAGAGACAGCCAGAAAAAAAGATGAAGTCTCTTACTGTAATAATATGAAACAATTTCTAGGACATATTAAGTAGGGAAAAGTATAGAACAGAACGTATAGTTTGCTAATGTTTTTGTCCCAAAAAGACACATATTTGCCTGAAAGTGAGTAAAAACTCTAAAGAGATACACAAGAAACCAGACACATTCTCTGCTTCCATGAGGATACTATGGGTTACCCAGGGGCGTAATGAGGGAAGCTTCTCATCCTTGGCCCTTTCTAATTTTGTGATATGAATACACCACCTCCTAAAAAAAAAACTAAAACAATTTAAGAATAAGTAAAAACAACTTTCCCATGAAAGTGTGGGGTTGGGAAGACAATCTTCATAAATATTCTTTTTAGTATCTGCTAAGAGACTACCAAAATTAGCTTAACCTTTGTCTTATAATTTGACTTCTAGGTCATTTCTAATGTTTCCTACTAATGCTGCAATGAGTATCTTTACACATAAACCTTTGTGACATTTCAGATTATTTACTTAGATTCTTGAAGCTGGTATTACATGTAAGGCTCTTCGGATTATTTCCAAAATGTTTTCCAGGTGGACTGGCAATTCACTTTGCCACAAGTCCCTATAAAAACTGTTTGTCTTATCCATGGATGTGCTAACACTGAGTCTCACCTTTAAAAATAAAAAAATTTAAAAAGTGTCTCGACCTGATGTTTTCACCTGTTTTAATCTGCATTTCTTAGTAGAGAAATCAAAGATATTCTCATGTATTTATAGGCCACTTAGAATTCCTTTTGCAAACCGTTCACAGCTAAAGCATTTTTTGGAGCTTTCTGTAATAGAGACAAAACCCTTAGCTTGACTGACTTCAGAAGGCTTATTGCTTACTTTCCGAAGGCAAGATGGGTCCCCCAATCATCCGTGACAAGCCAACAGCATAATCACAAATATCCACGTACTCCTGGACTTCTCCCACACCTTCCACTAAGATCTTCCCCATCTCCAAAGACACCTAAAAATACAAAAAGCCAAGTAGCATTTTTCCAACAGAATTCATGTTTTAAACATTAAATTGATGAGGGGGAAAAAAGCAAAATATTTTGTGTCTGTTTTGTGAAGGTAATAAACCTCAGAAAGTCTGTTCTTATTTTCCCAAAAATTTTAAAACCCAAGAATAGTCTTCACTTTTTCCTGTCCATCTTGGTCATCTTTCCTCTAAAGAGAAGACTTTTGAAATGTATAAATTGCTTTTCTTAAAATCACAATCTTCAGGCAGGCCCAGTGGCGCAGCGATTAAGTTCGCAGGTTCCACTTTGGCGGCCCGGGGTTCGCCAGTTCGGATGCTGGGTGTGGACATGGCACTGCTTGGCAGAGCATGCTGTGGCAGGCGTCCCACATATAAAGTAAAGGAAGATGGGCACGGATGTTAGCTCAGGGCCAGTCTTCCTCAGCAAAAAGAGGACGGTTGGCAGCAGTTAGCTCAGGGCTAATCATCCTCAAAAAAAAAAAAATCACAACCTCATATACAGAGATGCATGATGGCCTTTTTCTCCCAAGAATTGTATATTTACTACGGAAATACTTTACCAAGCTTCCTAGTACTTGGATCTTCTCCCGCAGGGCATCACCAATCTGTCTCACTACTTCTCCTCGCTTTGGAGCAGGAACCTAAGAAAAGAACAGAATTTTAGTGTCTAATTCAAAGTGTAAACACGTGTCTATGAGACAGTATTAAATAAATGTGCTGTAAGATACCAAAGCATAAGCCCATCAATGGCAACTGTTTTTTGAGGAAGACTGGCCCTGAGCTAACATCCATGCCCATTTTCCTCTACTTTATATGTGGGACGCCTACCACAGCATAGTTTGATAGGTGGTGCTTACGTCCGCAGCCGGGATCCAGACTGTCGAACCCCAGGCCACCAAAGCAAAGCACGCAAACTTAATCGCTACACCACCAGGTTAGCCTCAAAGACAGCTTTTTCCTTTAATCACCTCAAGACTGTGATATGGCAGGCCCCAAAACCGATACCAGAACGCCAGAAAATATCCAGATGATAGATTCACGGTGAGCAAAGGACTGTGCCAAGTATTGAGAGAAATTCAGAGATTGAACAGAACCTTTTGGGATGACTCCAGAAAACTTAAAATACCTTAAATACCTACAGGCCTTTATGAGTCCCAGTGATGTTTTCCTATGGCTCAAACTGATTGCATGCCCAAACCCTTGATTCGGCTTATAAACTGGTATTCCATAACCCATTCAAATCACACCATTCACTCATCAAGTATTTTCTGAGCACCTACTATGTGACAAGAGTAATGCTAGGCACTGGGGCTAAAATAAGTGAGGCACGCATGGAGCTAATTAGTATCTAGCAGCATTCATGGAGCCCATAACAGAGGAAAACAGGCAACAAGTAATTACAAATTGCTGCAAGTTCTATAAAGACAAAGGAAATAAACAGCATGCTGAGACAGAAAATAGCAGGTTTGGAGCATAAATGGGTAAATTATTTTACCTAAGATGTTCTAAGGCAAAATCTCCAAGGAGGTGAGATTTAAGTTGAAAGCTAAGGTTGGGAAAAGTCAACCACAGCAATATTCTTCCCAGGGAAAAGAAAAACACGTAAGAGATCCATGGAAAATAAAAGCTTGTTGTATTCGACGGGCTGACTGGGAAAGGCCAGCACCCCTAGAGCTAGAAGATTCTAAGGAGTTGGAATCTTACTCCAGGTGCAATGGGAGGTCCTTAATGGTTTTTAAGGAGCAGAATAAGATGACTTGCTTTACCTTTTAAGATTGAAACCTAGAAGTGAGTTAAAGGGTCCCTGGATTAGGATGAAATTGTGCTTGTACCCACAAGGTTAACGTGGGAGACAAAGTAACCAAAGTTTCTGAGTTTGCCTTGCAGAACAGCAGGAGGACCAACAAAGCAGCTGGCTGACAGCCCTCTGCCTGCCGAAGCATCGCGCAAAAGCACTGAGAAGCTAAAATGACCGACTGTAAGCTTCGCATGCCATAGACTAAAGATCCACCGCATACAACACATAGAACCCCCCGAATGTACACATGCAGCCCATGAAGAAAAATGAAAGACAGCGTCCTTGTGCAGAGGACTCTTAGAACTTCAGCCCCCAGGCCACATGCTCCCTCTCCCCATCTTATTCTCACAATATGCTTTGGAAAAATGCTTAGAACTGCACATAGGCAAGCTAGTCTGTGACCAGTAGAAAGAATAACACATTAGCAAAAAATTTATATCCTCTGCCAAACTGTTCCTTCTGTCTCAGATTAGGAAGTAACTAAGGTTTTCCTAGATTCCTCAGGAATGTTGTGTTCAGCAGATCTGCTACAGAGACGTGCCCAACGTCCTATGGTCACTCATCACCTGATGTTTCTGAGCCCCCTCCCCAACCCCGTTTGCCTTATATAAGTCATTTCCAAATCAGTTCCATCTAAGATGGGTTTTTTTTAGGACAATAGTCCACCATCTTCCGATTTGCCAGCTTATTGCTTATTAAAGTTCTTTCTCCACCACTGCCTGTTTGGCCTGTTATCTTGCGGGGAGCAGATCAAGCCCTTGCTCAGTATCAAGATCACTATCAGAGGGGTGGAGAAAAGAGGAGAAGCAGGGAGACCAACGAAGAACATACCCTTGAAGCCAAGGCAAAAGATTATGGTAACTTAGTTTTAAGACTGAAAGGAGACAAAAAGTGGACTCAGGATCTACTTTGGAAGTAGAGTGGGCAAGACACACTAACGGAATAGGTGCATGAAACGAGGGAAATGGAAGATCTAAGGATGACTCCTACGTCTCTGGCTTGAATAGTTAGGTAGATGGAAGTACAATTACAGGGATGAAGATGACTCAGAAGAAGTCTCAGGGTTTTTTAGAGGTGAAGAGAAGGGGTTGTGCCATATTAAGTCTGAGATGTAATTCATGAATGGAGACATACTTTCACCAACTGTGATCAGCACCCTGCTCTCCCCTCCAGGTCTTCCAGATTAATGCTACCTCTAAATTAGTAAATTACAACTAAAAGGACCATTCCCCTCCATGGAACCTTCCCACCCCACCTCACAGAGAGGGCCATCACAGCACTGCTCATGTTCCACCTCCCAGTGCCTGACCATGAGTTCAGGGCTCTTCTTTGCTCTCTTCTTCTCAAATGTATCACCATGTCTTAGTACAGCTTTTCTGGAGGATAACTTGGCATTCTATTAACATTTAAAACGTTCCTACCCTTTGACTAGGCAATGCCACCTCTGGAAATGGAGCATATATAAGCGTACGAATGTATGGGTACAACATTCATTGCAGTGCTGTTTCTAGTAGAGAAAAACAGAAACCATCTAAATGTCCACCAGCACATGACTGGTTAATTATGGGGCAGCCATAAAATGGAATACTTCACACTGTCTAAAAAGAATAAGGTACATTTATAACAAAAAACATTTGCTGAAACAGGATAATAGAAAACAGCAAAATAATGCATAAAGTTGCTTGAATTTTAAGGAATATACAAGATGTCAACAGTGGTAATTTCTGGGGAATGGAATTATAATAGACTTTCATTCCCCACATTTTACGTCTACAATGTTTGCCATTCTTACGATACCTGTACTCTTTCAGAAACAGGGAACAAAATTGTCATGTTAAATGAATCAGCCCAGATCCTATACATTTCCTAGCCCATGGAATGAGTTTAATAATGTTTCAATTGAGCTTAACCCACACACAAGTTTAGCAAATTGGTTCATTTTAACTCAGAATGGCCAGTACACATGGCCTTTTACCTCCCATTCTGCACATATTTATTCAATCAGTCTTTCAACCAATTATTGCATACCTTCTGTGTGCCAGATTCTGTGCTAATCCTTGGGGATACTAGGGAAACAAGGCAGCTACAAATCATGCCCAGTAGAGCCAACAGTCCAGTGGAGGTGACAGAGATAAGAAACATGCGATTACAATCTCATGTGGTAGGCGCCATGATGGAGGAGCTACACTGTCCAATTGGAGCACGTAGGAGTGTTAATTTAGTGTCACTTGGGGTAAGGAAGTGGGGAGGAAAGAGGCTTTTTAAAGAAGTTGAGAATTAAGACCCAAGACCTAAAGCATGATTGGTGTTCTCCAAGTGAAGAGATAGAAAAAGTAGAAAAAAATGATGGGAGACGAAGAACACAGCATATGTAAAGGCAAAGGCAAGAGAGAATAGAATAGGGTGGTTTTGGAAAATCACAAGGAGTTCAAAGAGGCAGGGGAGGAAAGTAAGGGCCACACTGCTAAAGGCCATGTAAAGGATCCAAAAAACAGTGGGGAAATTACTGGAGGGTATTAAACGATGAGGGGGAAATCACAGTGCATTTTAAGATATCACTCTAGTTGTGACGTAGAAAATGGCTCAGAGAGAAAAAAGTCTCGGGTAGGAAGACCATTAGGCTAGATGAGAGATGGTGGATGTCTGGACAACAAAAGTGGCAGAAGAGATAAATGTAATTTAAAATGTTCAACACTTGGTAACTGATCGATTCTCAACCCTGGCTATACATTAGAATTGCCACCTATGGAACTTTTAGGCTCGATTCCATCCCAGACCACTCAAATCCGGCATCTTCATTTATTTTCCAGCTTCTCAGATGATTTTAAGGAGCAGCAAAAGCTGAGAAAGCTGGGATTAGGTTTGGGGAGAGGGAAATGAGGGAGGAGTAGGAAACAAGGAAGACAGCCTCATTTCCTGTGCTTGCTCACTGGTCCCAGCTTGCAGGGTGTCAACAACCTCAAACTCTCCTGAGATGGGCAACGAGAGTCCTCGTCTCCGCACACTTCACCCTTGAAGTCACATTTCAAAGGAGCATCAAAGACAGCCATGAGGAGGGAACTAGAGCATCGAGGGAACTATTAGCTGAGCCTCTGGGGAAATAATACAAAGATCCTCATGTTAAAGTGCTACCCGGTATCACATATTCCTTTATTCAGTTAGAGACAGCCCATTAACGGTTCCCGTCCTGAAGAGAGGGAAGACACTCTGGGCCTTCCTCACTAGAGAGGGAGAGGAAAAATGAGGACACGTAGGGGATGCAGGGGGGCTGAAACTAGTTCAAAGAAGAAAGCAGCAGAGCCAGTGTCCCCACCAGGTTCTCTGCAGTTCGTTTTTGGTTTGGTTTTTTTTTAAAGATTGGCACCTGAGCTAACAACTGTTGCCAATCTTTTTTTCCTTCTTCTCCCAAAAGCCCCCCAGTACATAGTTGTATATTCTAGTTGTGAGTGCCTCTGGCTCTGCTATGTGGAACGCCTCCTCAGCATGGCCTGATGAGTGGTGTCGTGACCGCGCCAGGGATCCCAACCAGCGAAACCCTGGGCGGAAGAAGCAGAGCGTGCAAACTTAACCACTCGGCCACCGGGCTGGCCCCCTCTGCAGTTAGTTTTAATGAGGAGGAGGAAATTAGTTTTTATAAACTACTTTTGCATATTTTTATTCTATTTCCTTTTCCCTTAAAGAAAAACGTTCCCTTTGAAAAATTCCAGAATTACCACAAATGAACTAAGTGAAACACTGGTTTGTCCTCACACAGGCCAAGCCAGTCAAAAGGATCAGGGCCGAGCAGTAGCAGCCCCACATGAGTGAGGACCCAGGGCGGAGCATGTAGACCAGGAGGGGATCAAGCTTTGGTGTGTTCTCTGTTGAGGCCTTAGTTGCTCGTAAGTCATCGCCCCATTGGCAGGAACCCCAGAGGCACGTTAAGAAAAGGCTCTGCCTCGTCTCTAAACTTGAATTCAATAGCTTAACTCAAATTCTAACAAGTGTGATCCCCAAGTGACTCTACCATCACCCAGGAAAGCAACCTGTTCCCATTTAGCACCCCTACTCTACTGAGAGGTCTAAAAGGCATGAGAAGTATGAAAAAGGATGTTAGGTGCAGAGGCCTTAAGCCAAAATTAGTTAAAGTAGAGGAAAGATGTTCTTCATGCTTTGCACAGAGGTGGTCTCTTGGCTGATAAGAAAGCTGCATCCAACCCAGGGCTCTCCAGGAGTCTGCCCCTCCCCAAGTCCACTAGCCATCACTGATTCAGAGAAAAGGGCGGCTCGGCAGTCCCAGACCCAGCTGTCCTTGGTTCCAGAACTAGCAGGTGCTGAGGTTTGCCTCGTGGCCCATAGGCACTCGTCATGATTGACTCATTTAACCCTCAGGATAACTATGGGAGATAGGCACACCAGGTCTCCCCTTTCTACAAGACAAAGTACACTGAGGTGAAGTAATTTACCCAGGGATAGAGCTGAATTAACCATCCAGGATATTCCTACAGCCTCAGGCCTAGAATCTTTGCTGGGAGACTAAAAGGGATATTCAGGGAGGGGGGACGGGGAAATTCAAGCTACCCCAGTTCTGTACTCTCCCCTCCCCCAGAGCCTGGCCCTCATCTAGAGGCAGCTCACTGTGGCCAGCCCAGTTCCAGCTCCTACCCTTGCTCATATCACCCCTGGTGGAGACGGACGGTCAGGTGAACTCAAGCCCCTGCCCTTTGAAAGAGCTGCTGATCTTTGAACAAGGAATATTGACCCATTGCTGAGGTACTCCCCCACCATAAAGCCGGCAGGGGAGGGAGGAGAGGAGCAAACAGGTATTTTTAGCACAGATATTCCTTTCTCTTTGCTCAACTATAAATGCAGGTAACTTCAATTGGAGAACAAAGAGTGTTCACAGCTTGAATTTATGATCTATCAGTACAGAGTTTTAATCCATTTAAAATTACCCATTTACTGAAGGCCAAATATGGAAACAACACTATCCTTGGACTACAGCAGAGATTATCACAGCCCCCAAGGAGCTCCCCTCTCGGCAAGGCAGCACTGACCCGCTCATCAGCAGCTGTTTCATTATCTCATTGCAATTACAGTAGGTAATCCTACCACGGCCTCCATACTTACATCCGCCCAGATTCTCCATGCTTCTTGTGCTTTCTTTACGGTCTCTTCATAGTCGGCCACACTGGCCTAAATTAAGGATTAGAGGGAGACAAAGGGAAAAGGAGAAGGAAGTGACAATCTCCTCCTAAGAACACACAGACCAGTTTTGGAAAAGAAATGGAAAATCTCTGGGTGATCCTAAGATTTTTGGTTTAGAATGATTTTCACAGCCTACACTTCCAAAACCTCTTAAGAACCCAGTAAGACGTTAGAATCTCACTGTGCTTTTATATTTTTTTTGGTGAGGAAGTTTGGCCCTGAGCTAACATCTGTTGCCAATCTTCCTCTTTTTGCTTGAGGAAGATTGACCCTGAGCTAACATCTGTGCCAAACTTCCTCTATTTTGTACGTGGGACACTGCCACAGCATGGGCACTGTGTAGGTCCGTGCCTGGGATCCCAACCCATGAACCCCGGGCCACCGAAGCAGAGTGCAAACTTAACCACTATGCCACCTGGTCGGCCCCTCTAACCGTGCTTCTAAAACTTGGCTTCTCAAAGCACAATCTGTTAGCCTCCACGGGGAACAACACCTGAGATGTTGTTAGAAATTCTGTATTAGAAATTTAGAACCTTGGGCTCCAAACCAGATTTAAGAGGTCAGAACTTTCACTCTAATGAAGTTCTCAGGTGATTCAGAAGCATGGCCTTAAACAGACCCCCTCCCTAGTTCTCGCTATGGTTCACCATTTCTAGGGCACACCCCCCCTCCCCCTCAAAGAGTGGACAGTCTATCCCAGACATTCTAAACATCAAGTGAAAAAGAAACACACTAGCCTTTGACTTTGTAATTTTGTATTGTTCTATCAGTCCCATAAACTCCCTGTGGGCAATTTGCATTAAAAAGCAAAGCACTTACCTGTCGGACTCTTGCTATTGGCTCATTGTTAGCTGGACAATAGGTCGTGATAACCTTAAAACAAAAAGAACCACCATATGTAGAAAATGTAATCCCTTCCAAATTGTGAGAACTGACCAAATGGGGGAAGAAAAACAGGAGGAAAAAAAGGACTAAGATACAATATCTAAACTCAGAACCTTTATTTTAACTTCTGTTACTAACAATACTCTACAAAGCTAGTATTCAGAACCACATTTCTGCAAAACTCACTGGCGTCATCTAAATATGAAGTATATAAACAAAAGCCTAAATGTAACCTGTTGTTTCACCTCTATTTCCATTAACAGACCAAACTGAGTTTTACTTATTCCTTCTCTCCCTCACCCTGCCCACCCCGGGGTCAGAGGGTGAAATGGCCAAAGCTGGACAAGTGGGAAAGGCCTGTGTCCACACAACCTGGAGAGATCAATTAGAAAGAAAAAAAATCAAGGACTAGCCAAAAAAAAAAAGGCCTTCAGGGGAGGGTGTTCTATCCACAACCTAATGATTAGACGCCGCAGGAAAAACAGAACGACTACCAACGGGGAAAAGGGGGTGGGGGAGTGACTTGGGGATGAGTAAAACCACCTCCCTCTCCTGCAGTCACAGGGAACCAACAGGAAGATGTGTTTCCTCTAAAAAACCAGGTTCAATATATAACAATATATTGAACAATAACATTTTCTTATAAAAGCTTTCTTTTGCAGCTTTCAAAAACTCTGGGCGATAATAACCTTACCTTTCCATTGTATTTTGTAAAATATCTTATTGAGCATTAACCGGGTGCCAGGCATGGTGTTAGGCTCCGGGCAATAGAGAAATGCTGAAAACCCGGTCCTCAAGAACGGTCAGAGCCCAAGGAAAACATGACACGAGTGCAGCAAGTCCGAGGCTGCAAACTTCAAAGGATTTCAGGAAAGGCGACAACATAAAACTACACTTTAGAGCATGCCCTGTGGTGCATGACACATCTCAGGAGCCACCAGTCAAGCTCAAAAGTAATTTCCACTGCTAAGCCTGCAGCATTCCTCTCTCCAGATAGCAGGACTCTGCCATAATGTTTTACATACGCGTGGTTAGTTTAACCCCTACTAGCTCCAAAATGACCTCGGTTCTCCACAGCACACAAGGGCCTAAAATCTAAGAGATTTTTTTTAAGGCACCCTCCAAGAGAAGTTTTATTGTAGAGTTTCAAAACTTCCCATCCAGGATAACCCCTAGAGCGCCAGCGGGGAGTGGGACCGGGCAGGGCCCGCCCGGGCTCCCGGGCGAACTGAGGCAGCTGAGATTTCCCGGGACGCCCGCATACCTCTCCCCGGCCGCCCCAGCTTCCATTATACACGCCCTCGTTCTCCTCGCGGAGCTCCAGCTCCTTGAGCCAGGCATACTGGGGCTGATTGATGAGCAGAGTGGACATGAAGGCGGCAGGCCTGTTCCAAAGTCCGGAGAGCCGGATGCCTCCTGCAGCTTGCACACACAGCTGGCGACCAACGCGCCACATACTGAGCCCAGGGCGCACAACGCGCCTGCGGCCCGAGGAGCCGCGGAAATAGAGCCCCGCCCCCCGCCCAGGACAGCCCATTGGGCAGCCCCGGCCCCGCCCCGCCCCGCCCCTCCCTGCCCTCGGTGCACACCCCCTACCACTGCCCCGCCCGCCCGGGTCTTCCGGAGGAGCCAGGAGCTTAGTTAACCCTGGCCTGGACCAATGAGGAAGCGCAAGGGCTGCTGCCATCTGGTGAGAAACGCCGGGAACCGCGGCAGCAGCTAGAAATTCTTCTCAGCAAAATATTGTCTGTAAAGTACAGTAGGTTAGAGCAGGGGTTCTCAGACTATAATGTGCTTGTAATCACCTGGCCATCATGTTAAATGCACTTTCTGATTCAGTGGGTCCGCGCTGGACTCTGAGAGTCGGCATTTCTAACCAGCTCCCAAGTGATGGTCACGCTGCTGTTCCGTGCAGTAGCCATGGAGGGGTTTTTTGGTAGAGGGAGGGAGAGGGTATTTTGTTTTCATGGCTTTGTTAAATTACAAATCAGAGTTTTATAATTAATGAAAAACGTTAAATTATGGTACTTCCTTCTAAATATCCTGCCTGGGTATATTCTTGCTTTTGAAGAACAAAGATAGCTTTGATTAATTTCCTTCATTCTCCGTTTCTTCTATGTTCCTGCAATATCCTTTCCGCCCAACCTCCTTTTCCATCCCATCTCCCATTAATTCCACAACTAGGCCTACCCTATAGAAGAGAAATACTAACATCTCAATCAGCATGATTTGGACGTCAGTTAAAAATATACACGCACCCTCAAATCAATTGAATTAATAGATGTCTCAGTGATTCCCGACCTACTTTTCCAAAGTATTAGTTGTCTCACTACTTGCCTTGAGGCCTTCCACGCTGCAGCCAAAGTCACTTTATGTTTTTTTCCTCCCACCGTGTCTTTGCCCTCGCTGTTCTTTCCACCTGTAAAACCCTTCCTTCCATCTCTGCATTGAAGCTTGAGCTTTGTCTGTTCCACGCTTATGGCACAAATTATTTCAACATATAGTCAGCATGTATCAAGCACCTATCAGAAATTGTAGTAAGTGTTGGAGATGCATGAATGATGCTTCCATTTGTAAACATTACGTTTTTCCCTGTTAAGGCAAGGACCATCTCTGACTCATCCTTGCATGGTTCCACAACTCCCAGTATTATACAGGGCTCATGTCCCCTTACATGAATGAATGAACAAATGAACCTATGAATACACCTCAGGAGTAATAAGCATGGACACCCTGTCCAGCATCAGTGATCTCTGTCAACACCCCAGCTACTGTCTTCTGTCTACCCCTAGGACTGAGGCATTAATTTCCTTCCTTTCATTCTCAGACTTTTTAACTGAGAATTTGATTCTCCTCACTTTCTGGCTGCCAGCAAGATTCTTTATTCCATATATCCCAACACCATGCCTTTCCTTCTCTTCTCCTCCGTTTGATTCAAAAAATGAAAAGACATTTACAGTTGCACCAAATTTTAGGAGCAACACACAATGCCCTCAAGGAATGTTAGCTTCTTTCTCTTCATTAAGTCAAGGAGAGGTTCATGACTGTCTCTCTAAAGTAGTTCTGCAACGATGGACACCAGCAACTACCCACATTGAAAACAGTGATTGCATCTCTCCTCCACCTCCTTTTTTTTAAAGATTGGCATCTGAGCTAACAACTGTTGCCAATCTTCTTTTTTTTTTTTTTTGCTTTTTCTCCCCAAGTCCCCTAGTACATAGTTGTATATTTTAGTTGTGGGTCCTTCTAGTTGTGGCATGTGGGACGCCACTCCAGCGTGGCCTTGTGAGCAGTGCCATGTCCGCACCCAGGATCGAACCAGTGAAACCCTGGGCCACTGAAGCGGAGCATGTGAACTTAACCACTCAGGCACCAGGCCAGCCCCTCCACCTCCTTTTTTAAAAACTCACTTAGCCCTGTCCAACAGGAGGTCAGAAAAATCATAAACAATGAATTTTGATGGGGCAGAGCAAGAAAAGATAGAATTAAATGAATTATATGAAATCACATTTCATATATGAAAGACGCTTAAATTAATCACATATAAAACCATATATAGGAACTGCAAAGCACTATAGAAATTTAAATGTACTGACTGAACTCAGGACGCCTTGAACCAATTCTGTACTAAAAGTTGCAGAGTTTGCAAACAGCCAGTTCTGCTCTTCAAATGACTTATCAGGGGCCAGTCTGGTGGCGTAGTGGTTAAGTTCAGTGCACTCTGCTTTGGCCCTCCCACCCCTACCCATATTGACAGGTTCGGATCCCAGGCTCAGACCTACACCACTGGTCAAGCCATACTGTAGTGGCAACCCACATACAAAGTGGAGGAAGGTTGGCACAGATGTCAGCTCAGGGCCAATCTTCCTCACCAAAAAAACCAAAAACAAATGACTTATCAAAGGCATCATAGGGTGATGGTTAAAGCAAGGACTCTGGAGTTACAGCATAGGTAGAAAGGACCTGTGCTTAGGATGTCCTCAATGAATGCTAGCTGTCTTCATTCTTCAAAGATACCTGGCCAAGAGGCAGAGGGATGTGACCTGAACGTGCATGCTTGCCCCAAGGCAGCAGTAAATTGGAGAAATCACCACCACCCAGGATACAATTTCATTATTGCAAAATCAAAGCCTGATTTGTCAAAGCATGGGTGAGTGACACTATTGCTCTGGGCAGACCCATTAATCAAGTTCACAAAAAATGATGCCACAACTAGAATGCTGGCTTATTATTTTATAGGGAAATTATCTTCAGAAAGGACCAACCATTTACATCCTTTAATCACTGCATTCTTTCCCAGGATGCAAACTACCTATCTGGTTGTTTAATGAGCCCAGAATCAGAAGAAGAGTTGTTAATTAACAATATATCATTCTAGCGTTTAATGGCATCAGGCTAAGATAAGTCTCCCCAATGTCTGATTTAATCTATAGATTCAATGCAATCCCAATCAAAATACCAGAATTGGCAAGCAAATTCTAAAGTTTAAACAGGAATGCAAAGGATCCAGGATAGCCAAAACAATTTTGGAAAAAAAGAGAACAAAGTTACATTACTTAATTTTGACAGTTATTATAACAATTTTACAGTTATTATAAAGCTACAGTAATGAACAAAGAGTGTAAAATAGGAGTAAAGATAGACATAAATATCCTAAAGATTGATGGAACAGGCTAGAGAACCCAGAAACAGACTCTTCTATATAGTCAATTTTCAATGAAGGTGTCAAGAAAATTCAGTGTGGGGTCTGGCCCCATGGTGGAGTGGTTAAGTTCACACACTTGGCTTTGATGGCCCAGGGTTTCGCCAGTTGGACTCCTGGGCTTGGACATGGCACCACTCATCAAGCCATGCTGAAGCAGCATCCCACATGCCACAACTAGAAGGACCCACAACTAAAAAGTATATATATAACTATGTACTGGGGGGCTTTAGGGAGAAAAAGGAAAAATAAAATGTTTAAAAAAAAAAAGGAAATTCAGTGGGGAAAGGATAGTCTTTTCAACAAATGGTGCTATATTAATTAGATATTCACTTGCAAAAAAAATGAAACTTGACTTTTACTTCACACTATATGCAATAATTAACTCAAAATGGACCATAGACCTAAAGATAAGAACTAAAACTCTAAAACTTCCAGAGGAAAACATTGGAGAAAATCTTTAGTGTGAGGGGCTGGTCTATGCATTATATGATATTTAGCTGCATCCCATTTACTATATTTTAACATAGTAAAATGTTAATTATAGCATGAAATTTGACTCCTACCTCACACCATACAGAAAAATCAATTCCAGGGGCATTGTAATTCTATGTAGGAAAGGTAAGACAATAAAGTTGTCTAAGAGTCAGGAGACCTGGAGTTAAGACAGCTGTTCAGTAGCTTAGCTGTGACATCTCTTTTCATTTGTCAAAATAAGAGAATGGACAAGGTGATTTCTAAATTCCTTTATGGGTCTTAAATTCACATATCAAAAAATGCATATTCATTCTTTTCCATGCAGTCTAAAAACGTTTCCTAAGGAAATTATAAAACAAGTTTGTAAAAATACATACTAATTGCAAAATTGGCTACAGCCTATATGTCATCAGAGACTAAATAAATAATGGTACCTCCATGCTATGGAATGCTAGGGAGTCATTAAAAAGAAGGAGGTAGGTCTTTATATTTTGGTATACAAAGGTGTCCAGGATAAATTGCTATATCCTTTTTTTAAAAGCAGATTACAGAATAGTAAAAGGTATAAATAATAAGATTCCTTTTATGTAAAAAAATTTAATAAATATTTCTTGATCACCTATTATAATAGGTCAAGAATATATAATACTAGGTCAATAATTATAATAATACAAGAAGTCACTGGGTTGGACACTGGGGGAAACGGTGAATAAAACAGACATTTTAGTTTAGAAAGACAAAAAATAAAATGAATACACATGACTATTGATGCCATGAAGAAAACAAGAGTTTGACAGTGACAGTAGAGGATCCTGTTTTAATCAGGGTGGTCCAAGAAGGCCTCTCCGAAATGGTGGCATTTAATCAGAAACCTGAATCATGTGAGAGAACAATCTGTGCAAAGAATGGGTGCTGAGGGTGTTGGAAGGGTCGGTGAAGCAGAGGGAACAGCAACTGCCAAGGCCTTGAGCTCCGAAAGAACAAATGGTGCTTGAGGAACAACAACTTGAGCAGCACCCGTGCAGCTGGAGAGCAGGAGAGGGGCGCAGACAAGCCAGGGGCCGTGTGCGCCATGCTGAGAACTCCGGCCTTATTGTGTGGAGGGAAGGCCCTGGAAGGTCTGAGCAAGGCAGGGCCCTCAGGTACTGTCAGAAAGGCTAGGTATAGAGTGGAGTGCGCAGAAGCAAGAATGGAAGCAGGGAGGCCTGCCCGGAGCATCCCGGTGAGGCGTGTGAGGCCAAGGGAGTCCCCGGTGGCCGCTGTCCGTGCACAAACGTGGCCTTGCACGAAAATCAAGTCTGGAAGAAA